ATTAACTTCTCGAAAAATGAGTTGAAACAAAAGGAATTGAAAATTTGTGCATATCTTTACGTTTCAGAGATTTTTGAACAATTTGGCATACCTTAGAAAAAATTGATGTGTTTGTGTACGTATGGATACAAATTTTTGTCCACGTTTTCGCGCGCACGGATCAGCCGATTTGAATGGTTCAAAAAAATATTCGATTCCTATTGATAGGGAGATTAGTTTTTGGCAAAAGTCAGTCCAGCCGTTTTGGAGATACGGAGCGAAGAATGCACAAAATAGAAATAGAGTTTTTAAGAGAACAGAGCATCTCGGCAACATTTAATTCGGAATGATTTAGGAGTAATCTAGAGCAACTCGGTATACCCTAAAATTAACAACAAATATTGTAATGTGATTGTGACAAGTTATATGTTAATGTTAAAATGTATCACTTTAATATATTATTATCAATATTACTAGATGTTAATTATTTAACAGTTGTAATAATTATTGAAATTAAAAAAAAAAATCATAATTATAAAACTATTATATTAATATTGATAGTATATTTGGACATTTTGTCAAAACTGTTAAACCATTCGATTAATATAAATAATGAATTCAAGAATTGTTTCCAAAAATCAACAATCTACAAACTACCCTATGACACTCGGTACACTTAGACGCACCCTTACAAATCAATCCTCTTATTACCATCAATCCTTTCTAAGGGTGCATCCACACACGTCTATCAAGCGAACCAACACAATCAGCGAGCAAGTTCACACGAACGACGTGAATGTGAATGTGTGAATCTTTCACTTATATTTTCACTCGTGGTGCAGAGTATATAAACGTCGCAACATATGAGAGAAGGCATCATTTAGTTTTTAGAATTAGATCAGTTCGTAGCTCAGTGGTTTAGAAAGAGAACAGATACTACTAGTGACCAGTGCAACCGAGAGATGGCGGCCAAAATAGCGGTAAATTGAAATAAATAGATAAATAGATAAATAGATACATGATGTGGATTTTGCGATATGTGCGGGATGATAAAAACGAGTGTAATTGTTACCAGTACACATTTGTAAACACTTGGTTGTTGTAACTGAAGAAATTATTTAATTAACAATCTTAACTAAAATACTTTTTGTAGGACTATAATATTTTAGGTTGCATTTAGATCATGCATAATAAAAAAACCTTGACTCATATTTACAGAAACCACAGAATTTAATCAGCACCATTACCCTCAGATATTTTTCGAACAGTTTTGCAATTTTCAAAATCGATTCAGAAGTTCTGGCAAAAATATCGATCGTGTTTAATCAGAATGCCTTTTATATTTTTAAAAACGGTGCAGACATTTTTGAGAAAACATCGAAGAAAGTTCAAATTTCGTCACACATACCTTTTCCAACATCGGTGTCAAAAGATTCAGAATTATTTGAAAAACAAAAAATTAGCAGATTTTGGATTTTTGGTGAAAATAGATTCTTCTCCTTCGGGAATTGAGAAAAATAATACTGATACAAAATTAATTTTAAAGTACTGAAGAATCTATTATTAAATTGTTTGATTTATTTATTAACGGATTAATTAACGGATTGATTAACGAATGCAAAAAGCTCATTAAAAAGCAAAAATAATAATACTAAAGTTATTGTGAATCGTAAACAAAGGTATTGTTCAACATATTATTAGCAGATAAAAAGATATAAATATTTGATGTTAGTAAACAAACGACTTTTTTAAATTGTCAATAAATAAATAAATATAACGGATTTATTCAATTCATTAATGCAGCGATTTTTAAAATTATCATTAGCGTAAACAAAAAATAAATTTGAGATTTGTAAACAAAAAATTAACGGATTAGTTAACGGATTTCTTAAATACTAACGGGTGTAAAAATATTAATATATTTACAAAATAATATTTACAAATTACCGATTTGGATTTATACCCAAATAGTTTATTGAAAAATATTAATTAACATTCCGTTTTATGTATATGTATAATAACCAATGCAAAATTTTAGAATTTCAGTCTAGCCAACTAAATTAAACTAGTAGGTATTGGTATTTTGCCTTGAGGCAAGTTTCATGAACTTTCTGATATGTGTGAATAAACGACTTAATCAATAAAAAATAAATTAATTTATGAGTGATTAAAAGTATTCCGAGTGGATTTATTACACATAATTGAAAACGAACGATCACGTTTACTTGGAGTATTTTCTAAAAGCATATTTACAAAAGTCAATATTTTTTATAATTGAACCAGTTTCCATAGGACTTTAATGGTTTAGTATGTGCATTAAGACTCAGTACTCTATCGTTATACCAAATAAAGCGTCTAATTTTAATTTTAACAAACATACTCATTTTCTCAAACTTTGTTGAATTTTTAAAATAAACTACTTTTCGTAAGGCCTTAATATTTCAGTAAGTTCTATAAGACCATGATATATATCGCCAAAAAAGTTTCATAAAAATTGGCTTAAATTTTTCAATTTAAAAATCAGTTTTTGATTTTTTTTAATCGATTCGGTAGTATGAGCTTAAATGTGGACGAAAAGTTTAACACTTTTTCCAAATGACAAAGAAACGGCTTAGCAGATCGTCGCATAAAACTGACAAACGATGGTCCTCATCGAGATATCAAATGGCTTTTAAATTTCTGAAATCGGTTCAGGCGTTTTTGACAAAACGTCGATGAAAATCTAATTTTGACAAATGGCAAAAAACGATACCAATTTTTGCAAACTTTGACAAATTTTTAAAGTTAAACGAGTTGTCGTAGGGCCATAATATTTTAGTATGATTTAGAAGACTTAGTATGATCTAGGGTATCTATATATAAGAATTTGATTTCAGTACTGATTAAATTAATTTTAAATGAATATTTGTTTATTTATATGTACAAGATAATCTTATCTTCTTTTCTATCTCGCTCCCAATTTTTTGTCAACCAAAATCTAGACCATTTTTTTGTTTGACAACACCAATAATCAATTACAACGACTCAGGAAATAAACGGATAATAAACAAATAAATCGTTATCAGTCTTCCGTTATTCCAATGAATATTCATTATTTAAATATCGATGATGGATCGATTTTATGGTCGATTTAATCGTTTAACGTAATCGTAAAAAAGTACAGGTCAATAATTTTCAAAGAAACGTTCCGACCAAAACGCAAAAAAATATTCGGAATGTAGACGCGTCCTAAATTTCTAAACAACCTAAATAGTTCAACACGAAAGTTGATTTTGTTAATTGAATTAATTAGAGAAGAAATTGTTTAATATTCATTAAGATATATATATATATATATATAAATATATACAAATTGTGAGAACATCTATTACTGCTTCCAATTTCGGTGTCAATGGATTCACACTGACTTGAAACGTCGCGAAAACAAAATTAGCAAATCTGTATTGCTGGCAAAAAAACTTATTATTCGGGAAGTTGATGAAATAAGTAAATCTGAAGAAAATGCATGTCACCTTCAAACATGTTTCAAATACAATATTAAAACCTTAGAGCTCTTCAGGACTACACTGATTGTAGTGCCATGATGTAATTCACTTATGAATATTTTCAATGTGCGTATTTGAATTTCGTTGACAAAATTCATATTAATTTCGGAATTCGCGAGTGAAAATGTTGATAATTAATATGTACAGTAAAGATCCAACAACATCAAATATGATAAACAAAATTATAACGCGTTTAAGCATGTGGTGAATTATTTAATCAATTCCCGAAATAGATGTTTATTTTTTGCCAGAAAATCCGATTTGCTAATTACTAAACTCTATGTAAATCCTTTTTTTTTTAATTTTGTCAAACAATTCAAAACGGTTAAAAACGTCAAGAAAACCAACAAAAACAAATCTTATCGAAGCTAACTTCAAGGAAATTATAATAAGTGTCCTATTATTTATTTAGACACTTTTCATTTCTATTTTATAATTATTAAAATGTTGCTAATGCTAATTTTACACTTTAAATGAATCCTTCAGCAAATAGTCATGTCACGCACTTTTTCTTTTAATTTTGTCAAACAATTCAGAACGGCTAAAAACGTCAAAGAGGTTATAATAAGTGTCATATTATTTATTTAGACACTTTTTATTTTATAATTATTAAGATGTTTATTTTTTGCCAGAAAATCCGATCTGCTAATTCTATACTTTATGTGAATTCTTCATTAAATAATTTTGTCACGCACTTTTTCTTTTAATTTTGTCAAACTATTCAGAATGAACGTCAAGAAAAACAAATTAGCAAATCTTATCGAAGCTAACTTCAAGGTGGTTATAATAAGTGTCATATTATTTATTTAGATATTTTTTATTTCTATTTTATAATTACTAAGTTGGCATCTTTTAATATGTTTGTCACATGTAACTAATGTCACGGTGGTTATTATAAGTGTCATATTATTAAGGTTGGTACAAAAATCGACTTACACGACACAAAATGTTAAAATTTAAATTTTTAAACAAATTTACAAAAAAATAATTTATTCCAAAAATTATTATTTTGTAGCATTGTTTTAAATTTATTTCCTAACACTAATATCGTATTAATTATTTTCCAAATTTATATCACCAAGTTGGTAAGATTATCTTAGGGAATTGTTTTTGCTTGAAACTAGCTTCAAGTATGTTTACATTGTTTTGTTGGTAATCCTTACGATCAGAAAGGATTTCACACGCTACCAACGTCATTGTGGTTATTATAAGTGTCATATTATTAAGTTGGTTTCAAATTTCGAAAAAAAGGGATTCAAATTTAACCCTTTCAACCAGGATGCCGCCGCTCCGGCGACAAAATTCATATAAATCTCCCAATTCGCGAGTGAAAAGGGTTATTACAAGTACAGTATTAGGTACAAAGTACATATAATTTTCGGCTTGAAATGTTTATTATTCAGTTGCTATGATTCAATGATCTCGACTATTCTGTTTCTCTCTAATTAGTTTGTTGATTGAAGTGAAACGATTATAATGTTAAAAAGTAAATACGAGGTAATTACCGGGATTTCCGATACGCTTCTTTTTTTTACATTAAATACATTTAATCGACCAATCACGTATCGTTTCCGAGTATTTAAATGAAAGTGAGGTTAACGCACTCTCGCGCAAAAATAATAGAAAAAGAAATATAGAATTTTGCTAAAATATTTTGTGTAACTTTGATGTAAGTGGCATTTTGCTTTAATGAAAGTTTCATGAACTATGCGGTACTTAGATAGTTAACAAGAGTTGAGACTTAACAACTTCTCAAATTGGCAGGAAACAATTTTTAACTGTTCATTTCTAAAATATAGCTTATTATTTTAAACTTTTATGGATTTTTATAATTAAACTACTTCTTGTAGCAAAATTTAAATAACTGCAATATATAACCTTAAATATTACATATGTATACTTTTCATCTTATGAAGAAAATTAATTAATTTATAATGAAAGCGAAACGCAATATTAATAACAGTTTAGCATGAATATATACATGTATATATTAATTACCATTTGTGCGTGTCTGAAAAGCCATTTTCTTTCTTCATAACTTTTATTTTTATTTAAACTTTTCTATCAACAAGTAATGTTTTCATTATAAATCGTACGGCTCAGTACCTTCAATATCATAAATATAATAATTATTATCATTTTTTTATAATTTATAGTTTTACTTAATTAAAATTAATAAAAACAATCAATTATATAATACTCATGAAATACAAAAATTACTGATTTAATACAAAAGATATTGTTTAAAAACTAGTTTGTGTCATTTGTGTGGTAATTGTACAATAGAAACTAACTTCAGGTTGTTAACAAATTATTAAGTTGGCACTTTTCACGTCCTGCCTCAACTTCATAGATAATTTTAAATTTTAACCAATGTCTGGTAAGAGCTATAAAAGAGGAAGTACTATTTGTAATTTTGCTAAACGATCATCGATCTTAAGTTTGAATGTGAAGATCATCTGAGCCGTTTCTTCAATTTCAAACATGTCAAAACTATTTACTTTTTTCACTCGCTCAAATCCCAGAAATTTTAACACTTAGAAAATAAAAAAAATTTACACTCACTTCGACCTCGTGAAAACGCCATGGACTACATGGTTTTTCGCCAATTTCAAACATGTCAAAAATATTTACATTTTTCAATTTTTGATAATTAAATTAAACATTAAATGTATAATTAATCCACCATCCTTTATTTCAGCTAATTTGCACGGCGCTTCTAGCTGTTATTGGAATTTGTCAAGGAGGCGGCGGTGGCAGCCACCACAAGAAAGTGATAATCCATGTTCCTTATAAAGTCAAGCACCACCACCATACGCACACCGTTTATAAACACGTGCACCACACTAAACACGTCGGAGGCGGAGGCGGCGATGGAGGACACGACGAGTACGAAGTCTTAGGCTATACTTATGGTGACGCCCATGGAGGCGGTGGCGGCGGCGGAGGCGGCGGTTAGTAGAAAACAAATTTTGCCATTTATACTTTTAATTTGGTGTGAGTGCCATAAGGCGAGATTCAAGAAATTCCTGACGCTTGTAAATCAATATGAAGTGGGATTTGGATCTTTAGATAAAAATTGCAACAATATATTTCACAAAACCTTGCCTAGTTTAATCGAATGCTTTTCAAATTATTGAAATCGGTCCAGCCGTTCAGCAAAAATGTCGACGAAAGGCCAAATATCGGCTCACGTCACACCTGGTGTCAAACGATTAAGAATGTCTTGATACGTCAATAAAACATACAATTAGCAAGTCGTATTTGCTATCAAAAACAAACTTCTCTTTCAAGAAGTTAAAAAATCATTTTTTATTGTTATTTTACATCTTTGTTGTTTTTGTAGGTGATCACGGTGGTTGGGGCGGTTTCTCAGGCGGCGGACACGACTTCGGTGGTTCCTCCGGCGGAGGCGGCGGCGGCGGTGGTATAGAATCGCATTTCGGAGGCGGTAACGACATCGGCGGTGGTTCCTCATTCGGAGGCGGACATGATTTCGGAGGCGGTTCTTCTGGAGGTTCATCCTTCGGTGGTGGACACGATTTCGGAGGCGGCAGCGGTGGTGGTGGTTCATCTTTCGGAGGTAGCCACGCTGGTGCTTTAGTGTCTTCCATTGGTTACGGAGGTTCTAGCGGCGGAGGCGGAGGCGGTGGTTATGGCGGTTCAAGTGGAGGCGGATCTAGTTATGGAAGTTCCGGCGGCGGCGGTGGAGGTGGTTACAGTGTTGTATCCTCCGGAGGCGGCGGCGGCGGCGGAGGTGGTCATGATTTTGGAGGATCATCTGGAGGTGGTTTGTCGCACTTGAGTGGCGGTTACGAGACGCAAGAATACGGAGGCGGAAGTGAAGGCGGTTACCATTGATAATGTAATATACATATATTTATGCGGTCGAACCGTTTGTATATACATATTAATCATATTTTTATAACTGAAAAATCTATGTAACACGTCCTGAGTAATTGATTTAAGTCGACAGTGTCACCAACTGTCAAATTATCAATTATCTCATGCGTTGTTCAATGAGTACGTGTAAATGTTTAAAGATAAGATATTAAGATAATTCTTTTCCATTTTTTATCTTTTTGAATTATCTTTTATTCATTCAGCTTCCTTTCCTATCTAATGTGCTTGCTAGTCTCTCTTTAAACAAATAATGTGAGTGTGTGTGGATGTATAAATAAATATTATTATATTATTGTTACTTAATTTGTTACTATTGATACTATTTGTTGTTATGTCGGTTTTTAAGATGTTTTATACAAATGTTATTGTTGAATAATTAAATAAATAATATTTTTGTACATTGATAATAGTTTTGTGTTTTATTAGATAATGCAATTGACATTTCAGAACACGTGTGATATCGTTTAAATAAATTTGTTCTACGCCTCATTTATATTAATTGTAAAATTACAGAAGATTTATTATAAAGTTACTAGCAAACCCGACGAATTCCGTTTCGCCACCAGATGGTTTCGTGAGAAAGATGAAGAAATTTTTTGTTTGTTTTATATTTGAAAAGGAAATATTTAATTTTTTTACACAACAGTAATGAATTTATTTCGATTACAAAAATGAAGTGTTTTTTAGTTGAATTTTCTCTAAGTAAATGAAAGTGAATCCGCAAATTATCCGTTTCATTGAAGTGCTCTTTGGTAAACCACATTTTTTGTTTTTTGGTCTGACGTTAACACAAACAAAGCGGATGGTTTCCTAACTCGTGAACAAGCAACGTATAACTGCCCATGTGAAAAACAATGATTTTCTAAATAATCTATTTGAAATTTATCCCGCAAACACTAAGCGATTGGCCTTGCGACTTGCTATTGCAAACGCAAGGCGAACTGGATATTGCAATAGTTTGAAGTCAAACGGAAGACCAGTCAGAATCATTTGGTATGTCACCAAATCGCCAGCAATTTTTGACTAAATGGTGAAATTCAGGGCGTGTACATCATTATTCTTTGCGACAAGAATTGCTCGTTGACTTAACCTAGCATAATTCTGATAATTCTCACTAATGTCATTACTCGAATTTTTAATTACGGTGCGTGAAGTTCCAGCAGCTTGCATTAACGCACGATGCCATGCACAACTAATTTTCTTAGCTATAAACCTTGCGGAGCCCGAGACCTTTCCAACGAATGCAAAATTGTCGAAATCGGTTCGTGCGTTCTGGAGTTATTTCGTCAGGAAGGAAAACCCGACTTATTTTTATATATATAGAAGAAGAAGATATGTAGATATAAGAAGTGTTTTATTTAAAAGAATCGAATTTTAATATTCAATCGTAATAAAAAAAATGCCATAATAATGAGATGATATATTAAGGCGCCAATTCTGCTATAACATAGCCAATAACATGGCGTTGTTATGACAACGTCGTAACAACTTCATTCGAAGTCTGAAACTGTGGAAATTCAATATTATTTGCTGTACGATCAGGCGCATTTCACATATGAACAAAGCAAGAGAGAATGTTATTATAACTGCATCTTTATAGTGCGCATTTATAACATACGGATTTATATATTAACTAGTTGGTATAGGTATATTGCATTGAGGCAAGTTATATAAATTTCTCGACATATATCAATAATCGACTTAATCAACAAAAAATAAATTAATTCATGAGTGATTAAAAGTATTTCGTGTGGATTTGTCATACATCATTGAAAACGAACGAACACGTTGTCACAATTGTCACAAATCAATAATTTTTATAATCGAACCAGTTTCCGTAGGACTTCAATGGTTCAGTATGTTCATTAAGACCAAGTACTCTATCGTTGTGCCAAGTAAATCGTCTAATTTTAATTTTAACAAACGTCAAAAAAATTACTCATTTTCTGAAACTTTGAAATTTTTTTTAAATTAAACTACATGTCGTAAGGCCGTAATATTTCAATAAGTTATATAAGACCATGATATATATCGTCAAAAAAAGTTCTATAAAAATCGGCTTAATTTTTTTTTTTCAACAGTTAATTACAAGAAAATGGCTCGGTAGATTTTCATCTAAAACTAATCAGTATCATTCCCAACTAATATCTTTCGAACAGTTTTTGATTTTTTAAAATCGATTCGGTAGTTTGAGCTTAAATGTGGACGAAAAGTTTAACACTTTTTTTCAAATCACAAAGAAACGGCTCGGCCGATCGTCGCATCAAATGGCTTTTAAATTTCTGAAAAAACTAATCAGCACGATTCCCAACCAATATCTTTCGAAAAGTTTTTGAATTTTCAAAATCGATTCAGAATTGCGGGCTAAAACGTAATCAATTTTTTTTTCACTTTCGCTTGACCGCGCAAGGTTGATAAACGCTAGTCCTCATCGAGATACATTAAATGGTTTTTAAATTGTTGAAATCGGTCCAGCCGTTTTTAAGAAAACGTCGATTTACACACACTCATACTTTTTCCAAATTTGGTCTCATACGATTCAGAATGGCTTGAAACGTCAAGAAAACATAAATTTAGCAAATCGGATTTTTTATGAAAATAAACTTCTTCTTCGGGAAGTTAATACGCCTGATCGCATAGCAAATAGATTGAATTTTCACAGTTTTCAATAACAAGAAACAAGCATAACATAGCATTGCCATGTTATTATTGTATATGTTACGGCAGAATTGGCCCCAAAATAAGAATTATAAAATTATTTAATTATAAATTAATTTCTTGAATACACAATTTATACAGGTTATAATCGTATGAGTTGGTAGTCATGAATAGGATATGCAATACCGATTAAAAAATCGATACCGGTATTTTTGCATTTTAAAACCGGTAATACCGGTATTAATATTATTCTAAAAAATTTAAACCAAATTGAAAGTTATTTATACAAATATAAAAAAATAAACCTAATAAAAATAAAAAAAACTATTAGGGTGTATGGCATCGTGCCTTAAGGCAAATTGCTGGAACTTCCCGTACCGTAACGAAATGTTCGAAGAATACTGAATGTTTTCAAATAGATTATTAAAAATATTGTAACATTGTCTAATATTTATAAGAATTATATAAAATCTGATTTATTTTCGATATACAAAAAAAAATCTAAAAAAAAATTGCAAAAAAAATATTTTGTAACAATTTTTTTTTTCAAAATCAATTATTTTGTTAAAACCACCAGAAAGTTCTTTGAATCATTGAAATCGGACGCTTAGTTCTCTTAAAAACTGCAATTTTTTTAACATTTAGCTATGTATCTTCGAAATCGCTGAGCCTATCTTTGCCAAAAACTAATAACCACTTCTCCCAATCATTACTAATTGAATGTTTTTTAGATCCAATTGAATAATCGGATACTCCGTTCTCTCAAAAACTCAATTTTTATTTTCTGCACTCTTTGCCAAAAACTGATGAGCACATCTCCCTATTAATAGGAATCGATTGTTTTTTGAACTATTCAAATCGGTTGATCCGTGCGCCCGAAAACGTGACCGAAAAAATGTATCCATACACACATACACATACACACATCCATTTTTTTTGAGGTATGCCAAAATGTTCAGAAACCTTCAAAACTGTAGAATTTATGTTAAAAGTTTATGTGAATAATAATGCAACCGTGTATGCAGAAGAATAAAAACAGACTAACTGATTATATATTCTTTAACTAATCACATGCATTACAAATATTATTAACAATCACATGTATTAACACAAAACAAAAGAGAAACATATATACCTAAACATAGAGTAGGCATAGAGCGTTTAGTATCAAACTTCAACACCCCCACTATACTAAACAACTTGTGTACTCATACCTAACAGCTTTAAAAACTTCAAATGTTTATGTACACTTAAACTCTTCGTGAATATATCAGCAGGCATATCATTTGTCTGCACATACTTTAGATCGATTACACCATCTGCAATTGCTTCCCTGATGAAATGATGTCTTACATCAATGTGTTTTGACCTTTTGTTAAAAACTGGATTGTATGAAAACTGACTTGCTATCATTGTAAATACATACACTCTCATTTACATCCGTTAATTCCATTAACAAACATTTTAATTACATCGCTTCTTTAGAAGCACCTGACATTGCTTTGCACTAGGCCTCTGAAAGTTGTTACACGCATATGTGACACAATGGTCAAACATTTTCTTCTTTTTTTTTTTTAGACTTTCGTACTTCTATAACATTTTGTTTATGATCACTGCTAGCATTTTGATTCTTTTCTTCCTTACAGGCTGCATTTCATTAATCTCTACTGAAACACTGTTCACTACTAGTTCTATTGGGTTCTTGCTAGGCACATCTTCAATATTTTCCATAAATAAAGAAATCCAGAACTTTTACTGATTTTGATCCTGTGTGTTTGAATGGCAATCTAGTTTGCTTTCCTTTGCAACCAACTATACAATTATTTATGTCTGATGTTGCCATCTCGGATATGGTGAGCCCTTTCACTAAGCCTTTACTCGCTTTACACAAAATATGTCTATGCCATATATTTCCTGACTTAGGATTCTTACGATCTGTAACTAACACACAATTAATATTATTTGTTATGAGTTTATATACTCCACCTGTAAGTACCACCACTGCAACCAAAGTGTTATCTTTGTTAATTTTTTTTGCATTTATTATCATTGAATACAACCCTGTTACCCTTTCTGGTAAGAGCGCTAACAGATAATAAATTAGCTGACAATTGTGGTACATAATGAGCATCCTGTACTTCAACATTATAAACTTGACCATAACCCTCTGTCCTAAGACAAACGCTGCCACAAGACACTACCTTCATTTGCATATTGTTAGCTGTCCTTACTTCCTGCACATCAGGTTTCTTGTTGTATTCTCTTAAACTGTTACTGTCATTCACAAGATGAATACTGGCTCCCGAATCAACATACGACAAATGTAAAAATTTTCAATTTCGATTTTTGGACGATTACAATAACTTACCACACAGAAAGTAAAAAATAACTTACTGTAAATGTTGAGTATTTTCATTTAAAACAAAGTAATGATGCTATACTTTTTATGTAAAATAATATTTTGAGTTTTTTTTTTAATAATAGTAAACAAATATCATTGTCTATTAGTTCGATTATATTTATTGAGACATGATGGTGAAGTCAACATATTTATATTATTACGATATATCCGTTTCGCCACCAGATGGTTTCGTGAGAAAGATAAAGAAATTTTTTGTTTGTTTTATATTTGTAAAGAAAAAATTTGATTTTATTACACAACAGTAATGAATTTATTTCGATTACAAAATTGAAGTGTTTTTTAGTTGAACTTCTCTAAGTAAATGAAAGTGAATCCGCAAATTATCCGTTTCATTGAAGTACTCTTTGGTAAACCACATTTTTTGTTTTTTGGTCTGACATTAATACAAACAAAGCGGATGGTTTTCCAACTCGTGAACAGGCAACGTATAACTGCCCATGTGAAAAACAATGATTTTCTAAATAATCTATTTGAAATTTATCCCGCAAACACTAAGCGATTGGCCTTGCGACTTGTTAGTTGTCATTGCGAACGCAAGGCGAACTGGAAATTGCAGTCGTTTGAAGTCAAACGGAAGACCAGTCGGAATCATTGGTATGTCACCAAATCGCTAGCAATTTTTGATTGAATGGTAAAATTCAGTGCGTGTACATCATTATTCTTTGCGGCAAGAATTGCTCGTTGACTTAACCAAGCATAATTTTGATAATTCTCACTAATGTCATTACTCGAATTTTTAATTACAGTGCGTGAAGTTCCAGCAATTTGCATTAAGGCACGATGCTTAGATATAAAACTTGCGGTGCCCGAGACATTTCCAGCGATTGCAAAATTGTCGAAATCGGTTCGTGCGTTCTAAAGTTATATTGTCAGAAAGGAAAACCCGACTTATTTTTATATATATGTAGAAGATTTAGGGAAAGAAATAAATATTTAGTTTAATGACAAGTCGAGATAGCTGTTGCAGCATGTTGAATTGTTTATACAATAGAATAACCTAAAGAGACATAAGTTTCAAGTGATTGTTCAGAGATACACTCACCCATCTATATCAACGTGCAAAAGTTTTGAACTAATTAAATACTTGTTTATTTTAAACTATTCACACGTGCACAAAACCTTATTAAATTATTACACATATCGGAAATTGCATGCAACTTGCTTTAATTAAAATGGCACTTGCAACCAGTTAAATATTAAATTAAATTATAATTCATGTCACATTTTAAGTCTGACATAACCACAATCATAAATTTTAACATATGAATTCACAATCAATTGCATATGAATTTACAAAATAAAATTATTACATTTTATGTCTAACATAACCTCAATTACCAGTTTTGACATATTATAAATAAAATTATTGCCAATGTCAAAATAACAAAAAATAGGTGTAAGCCATAGATAAATTAATATAAGATGTAAGCTTCATTTTACATTTAAGTGAAGTTGCACTAACTTCACGGTATTCTTAGGTTTTCTTCCATAGATAGAAGGAGCATAGATAAATAACTTAAAGAGAGTATATTGCCTTCCATAGATGAAAGAAGAGTATATTGCATTTCATAGATGAGAGTATATTACCTTCCAAGGATAAAAGAAGGGTATATTGCTTTCCATAGATAAAGGTATATTGCCTTCAATGGATAAAATAAATAAATAAATAAATAAACTAGTGAGGTGTATGGCATCGTACCTTAAGGCAAATTGCTGGAACTTCCCGTAGCGTAACAAAATGATCGAGAAATATTAAATGTTTTAAAATAGATTTTTATAAATATTGTAACATTGTTTATTTATATTTATAAGAATTATATAAACTAAATTGGAAAGTTGAAATTATTTGTTTAAAGTATATTAGAACAGAATTAAAATAAAAAGCTGAATTATTTTCGATATGCAAAAAAAAATTTTTGGAAAAAATTAAAAAAAAAAAAAAAAATTTGAAGCAACAATTTTTTTTCCAAAATCAATTATTTTGTTAAAACAAACAAAAAGTGTTTGGAATCATTCAAATTCAACGCTTAGTTCTCTCAAAAACTGCCATTTTTTTGCACATTTAGCTCTGTATCTCCGAAACCGCTGGACCTGCCTTTGTCAAAAACTAATCACCCCTTCTCCCCGTCATTACGATTTGAATGTTTTTGGGATCATCTCTCAAAAACTTGATTTTTATTTTCTGACTTCTTTGCTCCATATCTCCTAATCGGCTGGACCTGCCTTTGCCAAAAACTAATCAGCACATCTCCCTATCAATAGGAATCGAATGTTTTTTGAACCATTCAAATCGGTTGATCCGTGCGCCCAAAAACGTGGACAAAAAATTGTATCTATACATACATACACACACACACACTCTTAGGTATGCCAAAATGTTCAGACCTTCAAAACGTCGAGAAATATAAAAATTTTCAATTTCGATTTTCGACCCATTACAATAACTTACCCTACGGGAAGTTAATAAAAGAAAAGTATATTGCCTTCCATTTGCCCTACCATGGATAAAATAAATAAATAAATAAAAGAAGAGTATATTGCCTTCCATTTGCCCTCATTTAGTAATTAAGCTTCATTTTGCATGTAAGTGAAGTTGCACTAACTTCACGATATTGTTAGGTTTTTTCTTCCATAGATAAAAGAAGAGTATATTGCCTTCCATAGATAAAAGAAAAAAATAAAAGAAAACATAGATAAAAGAAAAGAAGATTAGTTAATAAAAGAGATTCTTCTTTAGATAAGAGTATATTACCTTCCGTGGATAAAAGAAAAGTATATTGCTTTTCATAGATTAGAGTATATTACCTTCCATAGATAAAATTAGGGTATATTGCCTTCCATTTACCCTTATTCTTCATTAGTTGAAGTAAGCTTCATTTCGCATGTAAGTGAAGTTGCACTAACTTTACGATATTGTTGGGTTTTGCCTTCCATAGATAAAAGAACAAAAAAAGAAAAGAAAACATAGATAAAAGAAAAAATGAGTATATAATAAAAGAGAGCGTTCCATAGATAAGAGTATATTACCTTCCATGGATAAAAGAAGAGTATATTGATTTCAATAGATAAGAGTATATTATCTTCCATAGATAAAAGAAGAGTAAGTAAGTAAACTTTATTTTGCATGTAAGTGAAGTTGTTACTACTAACTTTACAACTTCACGATATTGTTAGATTTTGTCTTCCATAGATAAAAGTAGAGTATGTTGCCTTTCGTGGAGCAATTCAAGAAAAAAATTTGAAGTCTTTTTGGTTAATGTAAAAACTAACTATAAAATTAATTGCACTTGAATTTTACACTCTATGAAATCTGAATATTTAAATGTATGTGTACTATACATAGTACATAGAAGTATGCATAGAACTACTATGTTCTTGTTTTGTCGCCTGTTGCCAAGTCTAGTAGCCGGACTCTTCCTTCTGGCAACTAAGGAGTGCCAGTGCTTGTTTTTCTTAAACATAATTATTATATATTATATTTTATTCCTATAAAAAGATATTCATCAATGCTAAACAATAAAATACTTTCAAATATACTTCATTTATAAAATGAATATTTAATTGATTAACATAGAAATGTAAATTTGTACATTTAGGGCATATAATTTTTTGGAGTCTAAAATATAAAATAACAAGTTCATTTCATTATTTTCAAAATTAATCTTAATACTTGCTTTATAACTAAATACATAATTCTTATTAAGCTATTTTAGTATAAATATTAACTAAATATTATTTCAAGATATTTACAAATGTACAGAAAAATATTCCAAAAGAGTAACAAGATCCACATTAGTCATTTAAGCAAATCTTTAGAATCAGATCTTTAAAATCTGATTGTCTAGAAAAAGTATGAATGATCATTCAGACAAGAATTTAATATTTTAGACTTAGCACCGAGTTCTCCAGGAGTCTTTACTCTAATTGCAGGTTTATTGCTACCACTGCTACTACTACTGCTGTCGGACAAGGAACCTTTTCCATTAATGTTTTCTAGATTATCAAACATTCTCAATTCCTTGTTTCCTAGGATTTGATTTGTAACATTTGTAACATTTGTGATAATTTTCTCAACTTGCATATTTATTACAGGTGCCTCTATGGAAGTTTTGGTTGGACAAGTATTGTGAAGTATTGTATTGTGTATTCTAGACAACCATCTCACTGAGTCCTTGTTTAACTTGGGACGTATCTCGTCGCATAGAGATTGTTCTTGCGGAGTTACTTCGGGAATCAGTGGAGGAGGCTGCAAAAAATAAATTATAGTTTAGTGTGTTATAAATATTAATCTCTACACTTTCTTTGATATAAGCAATTAATTGTTAATTAACTTCTCAAAAAGGTTTGTTTATTGTAGAAAATCCGATTTCCTGATTTTATATTTCCAGTCATTATAAATTGAAAATAGTGGTGCATAGCATCGAATTCGAATTCGATTTTTGGACTATTACAATAAATTATTTAATAAGTTCCAATAAAATAAATCTACTATTTAACATGATCATGTCAAAAAGTTCCCAAAGACGTTTATGATTATATCAGGAATTAGGATTTGATAATTTTATGTTTTCTCAACGTTCCAAGCCGTTCTGAATCGATTTACAACCAAATTGGAAAATTTATATGTGCGTGTGCGTGAGGGGGCGTCCATTAATCACGTGAGGTTTCTAGGGCGAGGGGGGTTTGAGAAAAAATCACAAAATATCACGAGGGGGAGAGAGGGGTATAGTATGATATCACGTGTATTTATTTTTCACCTGTACTTTTTTTTAAATCCAAACATTTTCAAAAAAATCAAAAATTTTACAATTTGTTCTCGTAATTAAAAATACAGGTAATGTTTGGTGGTGGAGGTGGGGGTAATTTTGAATATCCCCACATAAAACCAAGAGGAGGGGGGTTCCAAAAATACATAAAAAAACAATTACGTGATTAATGGACGCCACCTGAGCCAAATTATGGCATAGTTAAAAGAACGTGTAGGTAGTGATCGTAAATATTGGTGATGATCGGCCGATCCGTTTCATAATTAATAGAGTTCATTATTTATGCTTTCAATAAACACCCAAAACAGTCATAGGCCTACAAAAAGTGGGGAATAATGGCAATTCTTTCATAACAATTGTAAAAATGGCTAGTCATCAATTATAGGCGATTAATGGACCCATTCTGTCGCACAACAGACCAATGTTATGGAAGGCTATGTTTTGAAGAACTTTTCATACTTCATACAAAAGTTATGTGGTTGCTGTGCAGTCAGGCGTTTTTCAGATAGAAAACCTAAACAAGGAACTGCACAAATGTCAAAAAAAAAAACGATCTTAGATAACAGAGTCTTTCTGACCCAGCTTCATAACATACCAGTGACGTTGCAGTTTATGTGTAAAACGCCTGAATGCACAGCAAACGCATGACATTTTGGCAGTATTAAGTATGATTCAGTAGCATAATGTATGGAAGCTGGAGCGTAACATGGTCTTGTCATAACATCGGTCTGTTATGTGGCAGAATCGCATATAAGGCTATTATTTACATATATCGGGAATATCATGCAATATGCCCTAAAAAAAGTTATGGAGTTTAGTTTACCTGTATATTTTGTGGTTCTTTCACTACTAGTTCTGGATCAGGAACAACTAACAACTTTGGAATCCGATTCTTTCCGTCTTTTGGTTTACTTATCTGGTACAACCACATCTTTTGTGATAAGCTATCATCAGGAACTTGTTTGGCCCGGAGTGTTGAACTTGTAGCGCTGCAAGAAATTAGAAAATTAATCGATTACTTAAATTACAAATTGTGTGAGTTATAGAACTAAATAAACGTTAAACCAATAAAAAAAAATTTATTGGTTTAACTAAAGAATTTAATTAAAAGTGTTACGGCAGGATTATATTTTTGCATTCAAAATTTATTTCTAAGTATCCCATGTTTATCTAGAGACTTTCATCCTTAAGTTGAAGATTATTTGATTTTAAACTAGTGGGGCGTATGGCATCGTGTCTTAAGGCAAATTGCTGGAACTTCCCGTACCCGTCAACAAAAATGTCTATGAATAAATATTATAAAAACTATAATTTTAATTATTTGTTTCTTGTAGACAAAATGTGAAAACTTATTAGATTAGACTATATTGTTTATATATGTTTGAATAAAATATATATAAACAAAATTAAATTAAGCAGACTTATTGTTAGAATGAACATATTTTATTTCAAATGCATCAATTTTTAGTTCGCGAAATATATGCATTGAGTTAACAATTTTCATCAACTATACAAACATAAAAAGTATTAAAAAAATTAAAAAAATATTACAGACTTGGGATTCGAACCCGGTTTTGACTTTCTTATCCACAAACGCGAACGAAAATTGCGGTGACGCGCTAACCAAATCAGCTATAACGACATGCTCACGCGTAACGCTATGAGCGGATGTCTAGGATCTAATTGGAATTTCTGCCCTTTTTGCTCTGTATCTTCGATATGCAAAACTAATCAGTACGTCTCCACATCAATACGAATCAAATGTTTTCTGAATTATTCAAATCGGTGTTTCCGAAATCGTCGACGAAAATTTGTATCCGCACACACTCACACATATATTTATTCAGAAAGAATTTCAGGAAACAATTCAAACCAATGAACATAATGCATCATCACAAAATGCTGTTTTCAAGTACACCAAGTTGGTAATATGCATTTCAATATTACACAGAATTGTAAACAATTTATTTTTGTGTAAACTTTTTGATTTGATTCATATTTGACATTCATGGGCCGATTCTTCCGCGCAACAGACCAATGTTAAGGATCCATGCATTAGCTACTGATTCGTAATGAATACTGTCAAAGTGTCATGTATTTGCTGTGCATTGAGACGATTTACACATTAACTTCACTGCATCGAAGCTGAGTAAGGAAGACCCTGTTATCTAAGATCGTTTTTTGGCAGGTGAGGTTATCTATCTGCAACCTGAGAAAAACGCTGGACTGCACATCATGTATGGAAAGTTCATTATAACATAGCCTTGCATAACATTGGTCTGTTGTGCGGCGAATCGGTCCACCCATTTAAAAGTTACAAAAGATATAAAAAATGAATATTCATATTGCTTGCAGAATTAAAGATGGGACCACTGTGAATAGTAAAACGTACTAATATTCTATTATTGCCTAATTTCTGAAAAATATCTTATTTATCTCCTAATTATGTATAGTTTTACTCTTACCTGCTCGAATCGGCTTTTTGTTGCACCCTAGCATTCTGCCCTCCAGGAACTTTATTATTCACAGTTTCATTAGAGCCTTGAACTCTAACGCCGCCTTTAGAAGTAGCTTTCTTATCAGCATCGATTGTAGTCTTCACCGTCCCCGCGTCCAACTTTCGTTTATTTTCCCTTTTTTCGGGCGACTCAGCAATATATAATTTAAGGGGCTCATCATCACTCGAACTGTCACTACTAGACAGTTTCCTGGAAGTTGGGGTCTTGGCTTGAGGTCTTGTCCTTTGAGCATTGGCAGCCCTGTTTGGAGTATTTTTGTTACTTTTGCTAGTACGGCTTAGATTTAAATCACTTTTGGTATTGTTCGCCTGAAGAGAAAAAAAAATTAAAAATAAAAATAGAAAGCTCAAAACCGAATTGAATTATTTACCAGTTGATATACATGATTGATTATTAATATTTAAAAAATGTATACATATTTAAATTGATTAATATGTCTATATTTAGGCTACTATTAGAACTAAAAGTGAATATTCCTGAAAAAAAACATCATAGTGTGATATGGGGTGATGAAAATATTTAAACGCAAAATATTTTTTTTACATCTCGATACATAGTGGGAATTAGTGGGTTTAGAATTGCAGTCGCCTATCTCGTAACACGTTTTTTCTGACATTTATCTCATTGTAAATATTCACATGTATAGCAACTAAAAAAATAAAGATTCTGACCAATTATAACTTTTTAATTTTAATCATATCCTATTATTGGAATATGCAACTTATTTTATCTCTTTCATCAAAGACTAGTAATGTTGAAATAAAAAAAAAGAATCTAATTCATAAATTTATTCAAATGCAACAAGTACACTATAAAATATGTAAAAATAAATAATATATAAAAAATCATATTCAAACAATTATAATACGAAAAAAATAGAGTCCTATTTTTTCCTAGATTTGATTCATAAAGTAATAAGCATATTCCGGCATTGATGCTTAAACCGAATTAACTAGCTTCGAAGTAAACCCTGCAAAATGATCATTTATAAAATATATAGATGCTTGTTAGTTTACACAAAATAATAGTGATTAGTTTTCTATATGGAAACCAGACAACATAAAATTGTAAAATAATTATGAAATCACTAACTTAACTGATAGTTATCCATTTCATCTAAAGCATCATTAACTGCCCTGTGCTCTCAAATTAATAAAAATTGCATACCATATAGAAAAATAATCAAATCCTCCAGAAAGATAAACAAATCACTAAAGTCTTACTTTTTTCACACTTGGTGAATATGTGGGATCTTCCCATGGGTCATCAGCATCTTCCTCGATGTCTGGGTCTATGATGGCTGTGAATGGTCGTTTCTCACCTCGGTCACTAGTTGTTTTGCTAAAAAAATAAAAATAAAACATATTTACATAAATAATGGTCAACAGGCAGAAACATTTATATGATTTAACTCTAATTTGCTTGCAAACTATGAGTGGGCGCCCGCTCTGGGAGGTAAAGTTGCCCCTTAAAGAAACGCAAAGTGATTTAATTTATTTGTTGCTCAAGATGTACATAATCCATAGACATTACACTACGTGGACTGCTAGTCCTCATATGTTCTCCGTTGTAGATAGTGCTCAAACATAGATGGGTATAAAATAAAAAAATAAGCCTTTTTATTCCCTGCCTTTTTACATATTTTTACATGGATTTGTTAAATTAACATAAACGTATATATACAGAACATGTTGCATTATATAATATAAACACAGTACGCGTTGTATAGAGTTAGTTGGCAAAAACCCCGGATTGGGTATAGGCCTCCTCCAAAGATTCGTCGTTTTTTTTTGTAGTTTCTTTATAGTTTCTACCACTTCGAATTCGTCGATCTCTTCTTTATTGTTTTAATATTATGTATTTAGTATAATATTAGTATTATGTTGAAATAGTATTAGTATTGTCACTGCACAGATTAGTATAAAACTCTGTAGTTACAGTTACAATGTCTTTTCGTTTGTGTATATATTTGTCCAGGTTTTTTAATTCTTTTATCCAGCAATTATTTGTACGATTTAAATGGTTTCTTCGTGCTACCTGAAAGCTGTTGGCTCATTATAGTGTCTTGTCTGTATTTTAAGTGGTCATTTTTTTATATTTATTCATTATTTTGTACAAAGCAGAGAGTTCGTTTTTCATAGTACGCGTTTTTGTTTGGTTGATTGTTGTGTTTTTCTACTTTGTAGCAGTTTAACTGTTTTCTTTCGTGATATTTTTGTTTTTGCTTACTTGTCTTGGTATGTGCAGGTTGTTGGCTAAAATAGCGTTACTAATAATATCGTAATAGTTTGTATCATATACTTCCTTTTTGATTTACTAGCACAGGTAATGTAGATTTAAGATGGTTCTTATGAATTTACATTTCTTTTGCATTTCTGAATTAGCAAACTGGTTCATTGAAAAATCGCGCTCTGCTTGGTTTATGTTAGAGATTTTTACTGTACCTCTGATTTCGCGATGGTCAGATGGGTAGTTCAGATTCAAGACATCAAAGTTTGTAAATGTTCGTATTTGGATGTGAGAAAATAATCAATCTCGTTTTTATGTCCATTCGGCGACTTCCAGGTCCATGACATTGACATTGTATGTAAGTATTTTGAATAGGCAAGTTTTATTGTTGTTCTGATGCTAGATGTTATAGTTTTCTTTGGAGGGTTGTGGTCATAATCCTCCACGGTGACCAACTGGGTTGGAGGATTTGTTGTGTTATGTTTCGTTGAATAGTTGTTTGTTGAGTTTATATGGAGAGGAGCAGCTGTTTGCTATGCATTACTTTTTGTAGTTTCTTGGCTCTGTGCTGTATTTTTTGTTAGAAAATTTAGCATGCTCGGTTTGATTACTCCTTCGGGAATGCTGTTTGATCTTCTCAGCGATATTTCTTGATGGCTTATTTTTTTTGCTTGTTTGTGTAATTCTTCCTTTTGACATGTCCTCTGTGAGATTCGATAGCGAGGCAGAAAACTTTCTTTTGGATGTTTGTTTAGGTATTACTAGTTTGTCATATTTTAGGAAAGTCATGTTACCATTTTCTCTCTCTATTTTCAGCTGTTCTTGTAATTGTCTTCTTTTTTCTAGGATCTGTTTTGGGTAATCTTCCTTCATATAGTAGCACGTGTCGCACAGTGCTTTTTTCTGTTTGAATATTTTTATCTTAGTGCTGAGATTTGAGAAGGATACTAGAGTGGGTCGTGGTTTTTCGCCATTTTTTCCTAGCCGTCTAAATACTTGTAGATCGGCATCTGCTAATTTGATTGAAAAGTGTAGATCTAACCAATTGAGTATAAGTTTCTCTAAAGTGTCGTATGAAGATTCCAGTTCTTCGATTCCAAAAAAAAAACTATATTTCTTTGCCTCGCCTGTTTTTCTAGGAAGTAGATTCTCTTTTCTTGGTTGTCTACTATTTCCTTGAGTTTCACATGTTTCTCTTCCAAAGCAAGAAATTTTTCCTCTAATATCCTGTTACGAATCTCTTTTTTCTGGTCGTCAAGTTCCACCTGATTTTTTTAAGAGCTTTCATAATTTCATCCATGATTGTTTTGGAATGAATGTTATAGTTTGTTTTTTGTAAGTTACGCCCTATAGTGACAGCGATGCTCTGTCACCGATACCATGCATGCTTCAGATTATTGTCTAAGAAGGCCGCTCACACGCCGTTTTTACACGAACAGCAGCAATTCCGCTTTGACTCGCTTGATGGTGTTGGTACTTGGGTGGCCCGCTTACTACTGACAGGTTATTATCTAAGATGACCGCACACACTCCGTGTTTACACAAACAGCAGCAATTTCGCTTTGACTTGCATTATTGTTGTTCACACTTAAGTCACAATTTTGAGCGATTATTGCCGACAGATATGTCCTATGTTACGTGCCTTACATAGGCCTTATAATATATAAACCAATTTTAATAGGTATATTCGATTTTATGTACATTTATTTCTCAGGGGAAATATTTACAATATCATTTCTTACAAAATTTTCAACTAACTATCCCAGATAATGTTTGAGCTAAATTAACTATTATGATAAATATTATAAATATCGGGAGAGTCCGCGATTGTCGTCGGCTATGTTCGCTTAGACATGTGACGTCACATACCCATCTACGTTTGAGCACTTATTTTGCGCTCTACTAGTAGTCCATGTAATCTAAGATCTATGACATAATCGCATCCATATTGTGGCTCATGACCAATTACTTAGTAAAGCACATAGTATTTCAAAACGAACAAAATTGTCTTTGGCAAAACTAAAAATAATTTCAAAAAATATTATATATATAAAACTTCTAATTACAATACATACATTATATAAAAGTACTAATTACCATACTTTATATAAGATTTTAATTAGCGTCCTCATGACTTCTAACATAACTTTGTTTCCAACTGTTTATCGTAAAAACATTCTATGCATAAAATTATTTAAAAATCATTTTGCTTTTAGTAAAGTTGCATAAATTTCCCGATATGTGAATTATTAATTAATTAAACAATTTTAGGTTGACCTGTAATATTTTAGGATGTTCGGTTAGAGCGCAAACTTTTCATCTTATATATAAAAATGGAGCTCTCGTTCAAATGTCTAAGTAAAACTCGAAAACGGCTAAACCGATTTGGCCAGTCTTAGTCTTGAAAAATTCGTGCCAATACGGAGAAAGTCCAAAAGGTGAGAAATTATTTCAAATCCGCGTAGAAACTTTTTATTTTCAATTTGAAAATTTTTGTAGAAGCGTAATCTAAATAAAACAATGGACGGTTGCTAATCCGTGAAATGTCAAACGTTTTTGACAGATGATGTTCGATAGGATATTTTACGTGAATATTATTTAATTGTGATTAAATTGTAGTAAGTAGTTTTGTTTGTAGTTTTATCTATATATAAAAACGTTAGTAAACGGGCCGCAAGTGTTACTAGAAACTCAAAATATCAACTCTTTCGAAATATTAATATGAAAATGCACTTTTTGGCGTTGTAACACTCTGTTTTTGCAAATCATATTTTTCTCAAACACGGTGCTCTAAAAGATCTCATTTGTATAATTATAAAATCATTGGTATTTATAAAACATTTTCTAGGATATATTATTTTTTAATTATGTTATTTCAATTCAGAACCTAAATTTGGCATCGATCAAAGGGCGATAATTTGCCGAATAGCATTTTCCCATTTATAATTTCCTAGAATTTACCGAAGAATATATGAAGGTCCAGGGTTGAAAAATTCTACCACCGACCAGTAAAGTTAAGCATTGTTTAACAACAATATTTGAAAGTAGAGGGAAAAAGATGTATAACCAGCTGTAACCTTGATTCTTATGACTTTGGTATCGGAAGATAAACGGCAATCTTTGAAAATCCATAATAAAAGTATTTTCTTCCGTTGGTAGTTTTTTAGCAATAGTTAAAAATGTAATTATTTTGTAAAATACCTTTAAAATTAAAATAAGACATTAAATATGTTTGCCACCTGGCCGTTCCAAGTTACTCCGCCTATAGAGTAAATAAGTCTAGATAACAAATTTTTGAAAGACAGCAAAAAAGCACATTTTTACAATGATCAAGTAGCTGGCAGTTTTACTGAACGTAGCCAGATAATGTGTTACCTGTTGTGATATAGTTGGTTTGATTATTATAATATAATTAATATTTGCTCAAAGTCATATTGGACTTTTACATTTACTTTAATTCATCGAATGTTACTTGAAACTTTTCAAAAAGCAGGTCAAAGAAAAATACTTAATTCATTTTCTATCTCTCCTCGCAGAAATTTAATAATTTTCTATAAGCTCAGTAGTATTATTTAGTAGTATACACAAAATTCAGAATCCAAAAAGAATCTGAAAAACTTGAAACGTGGTAATCAATAAGTCGAAAGACCAAAGAAGACTTGGCTTGGATTATACCATGTTTTCTATAGAAAGTGTATAAAACTTTTATAATACCTCATTTTATATAGCATTCAAACAACACATTCTTATACACAAAAAGTATTAATATTTTTGATTCTCTAGAAATTGTTTAGAATATACCTTATTTAGCAAAACAACGTTTGCCGGGTCAGCTAGTCTATTAATAAAAATTAACGATTAATGTTGAAGTAACGGCCCGGCCAATCTTTATAAAAAACTAATCAGCATTAATTATAAAGATACGGTTCGAGCGATTGCCGCGTAAAACTAATCAACAGGAGAACTCACTGATTTTCGCCAAATGGCTTTTAAATTTTCGAAATCAGTGCCACCAGTTTTGATAAAACTACTTGAAACGCCATAATAACATAAACAACAAGCCGTATTTTCAAAGCAAAAAAAAATAGAAAAGTTTCTTCTTCAACTTACCCTGATTTCGAGGTTTTACTCCCACTCGCCGTAGCTGTATTTGTAAACCAGTTACCATAAGGCGTCTTCTCGTTCGTCTTTTTTAGAGCTCCCTCGGCTGTCAATACCGGAGGAGATATCTCTGCATTCAAACACTTCTTTTTAACCAAAGGAGTATCATCATCACCACTGCTTGCACTACTACCCTGAATTACGGATGAGACAACTTTATCCGTGACTGCGTTTCGTCTATTCGTCACCGAAAGTGACTTATAGTGGTTGCGCAAGTTGGCCAAAGGATCACAAAAATTCGAATTCGAAAGAGGTGGTATCACAGGCTGTTGGGAAATACTGCCATTAGGCGAAGGTTCTTTGTTCTCGAAAGTACTTTTTGATTTTACGTAAGTTTTTGCAAAAAATTTTGGATCTTTACTTGTTAAACTTACTGAATCCTTGGGACCAACAGAAACTTGACTCATAGAAACAGTTGGTGATTCATTTCTACTTTTCAATGAATTTACTGGAATAGTTGAATAAATACTGGCACCGCAGGTCGTGACAGCAGGACACGGCGCAGGTAAAACTTTAAGACATAGAGGACTTTGTGATATAGCAGGGGAAACTTTGACATTGTTATTATTATTCACTTTAGGGTATATAATTCTAAAATTCGGTGCTTTCTTAGAAACTGTACTAGTGGCTGTGGTAGAAATAGGTTGACTCGATAGAGTTGATTGTAAAGATGTTGAAGGAGGCACGGAAATGGGGCTTGAGGGCTTCGTCAGACAGGGGCGTTGTGGTGGTGCAGGCGCTGTTGAGTTGGCGGTTGACGCATGTGAATGAATATGAACCATAGGTGTTGCTGTTGGAATTGGTCTTTGGACATCATTCTCAATCTTAATTACCGGCAGATTCCCTTGAGATGTTGATGTAGCTGTGTCTTCACTGGCAGACACAGCTTGAGGTTCGTCTTCATCTTCAGTCAACTAACAGATGGAAGGAGCTTGTTTATTTACGTAGCTCTAAGAAATTAACTCTTCATCAAATAAAATTTATAATGGTCTGTTAAAACACACATGAGCAACCACCAATTCATCGCCTTTCCACCATTGTGATAAAAAGTCAATTGGACACTGCTAAGCCATCACAAAACGTCCGAACACTTTAATAAATTATTTATTAAATAACTACAAATAAGGTATTTTCTAAAACAGTCGTTGGCATCAAGTGTTGTAAATTGTTGCTTAACGGGGTCCAATTAATTTGAAAAAACAACCAAATATAAATAGATTGATATAGAGAAGTCTAAAAAATGAAAAGGTTGCCAATGTCTGTTTTAAACAAACACATTCAATATAACCACATAGAAGGCTTATAATTCATTTTCATTATTAACTCAAAAATAATTAAAATAACAAAAGTAATTTAAAAGCAAAAATACTTAATTGATCATTATATCATTTTTAACTTTTCGAGTTGATTACAGCCATGATTCAACCATTTAACCCGCTCCGGCGGCAAAATTCATATAAATCTCGGAATTCGCGAATGGAAAGGATTAAACTTTTCATGTGGTTTTCAAATTATAATGTAACAAAGCCTTCGAAAAATCATTCATAAAAAGTCAAACTTTGCAAAAGTCTCTTTGAAAGTAATTTTCTACTTTTCTCAAATGATGGGGTTATATAAAGTTAGGATTTTTTTAAAACAGTTTTTTTTTCTGAATGTACTTTTTCTGAATATGTATAAAAATACGCACAAAAAAATTCATATCATTCTGGTGAATATTTTCGAAGTTGCACGCAAATTTGCAAAGAAAAACACGGCTGATTCGGAAGAAAGTAGTTAGTGATCCGGCGAAAAAAATAAGGATCCAGTCTGCTTTAGAGGCTTCAAAAAAACGCTTTAGGGATCTTTAGGAAATGAAATAAATATTTCATTAGAACAAAACTTTCAGGTTTTATTGCTATATACTTCAACATCCTTCTGAAATTTTTTCATTAAAATATGTGTCATAATATGCCGGGTAAAGATACAGGTCACAATTTTCATCCGATACAAAAAATCAAAACAAATAGTGTGTTTTCAAAGTCGGTGACCAACATGACTTAAGAACGGCTAATCCGATTAGCCTCCAATTTTAATCGGATCTTCTTAAATATAACTTTCAGTGATTAATCGAAGATTTTTCCTATCCGATAAATATTCTGTTTTTTTTGAACAATTTAAGGTCAAAATGTCGGAAAACCACTGACTTTTTTTTAAAAAAAAACGCCCTTTTGTCAAAAGTTATTATTTTGCTTATTGCTTCGATTAATTACTAGATTTATCATTTCTTTGATGATTTTTAAATTTCAGATAATTTACTTCAGAGATAGAGTGGTAACCGCAAAACGTGTTTTTCAAGAGGTGCTCCCGCAGATCTGCTGTAACTTTTTTTAATAAATATTTTTACCATGAACTTATATTATATTTTTGTTAATAATTGCGTATTTTTGATGAATTTAATTCCAATTTAACTATTGTTGATTGCGTACATTTTGTAATAATGAATTACATAAATTTTGTAAATTTTAAATGAAATTATTTAATTCAATTACTCAAAAAATGTAACATTAATTGTTATACTCTATTATAATAATAAGTTCTATTTTTGCAAAAAAAATGAAATTTTCAATGCAATATCAAAGACACATTCAGGTTTACGTAAAGGTAACAAAACAAAACCGACGTTTTCACAACAATGCGTTACGTTACTGTTTCTCTAATGTTACGTAGCCACCACGTACGTTAACGATTTTTTAATTTCAGATAATTTACTTCAGAGATAGAGTGGTCACTGAATAAAATATTTTTCGAGAGGTACTTCTGCAGATCTGCTGTAACTTTTTTTAATAAATAGTTTTATATGTAATTATTTTGAGAACATAGTTAAAAGATGTCTTTATATGTGTATAAATTTTTGTATCGATAAATTCAATAGTTTTCGCAGGAAAAATTCGAGAAAAATAGCTTTTTCCGGCCGATTAATTGTACATAACCCCTTAAATTAAATATTAAGAATAGGAGACTGGAGAGCAGACTATGTTTTTGAAAAATACTTAATATTTATTACTTGAATTTGTTTTCGAAGACATTGCAAATTACGAGTATATTGTAAAGTAGTAAAATTATAAAATAAAATACTTACACATATTTCTTCTTGCCGCCCTTCATATTTATTTCTCTTATCTAAAAAAATTTTAGCCAGTTGAGAATCGAGACGTTCCATTCTCACTTCGCACTGCATGATTAATGGTGGATCCTCTGGGAAAAAAATGTAAAATGTATAATATGAGTCATAGTCAATATGAAAAAAAAAATAGAAGGATAAATTTTGAATGCGATATTTAATATTAATTACCATCAGGATCTTCATTGAATTCATAATCATCTTCGATAACATTTCTGGGTGGAGAACCTGCAACACTATCTGTAATAAAAAAATTATACTGTATGATTTAAATTGATCTCCGAAAGACAAAAATTGTTTTTAAAATTATCTGTTCATATTAAACAACTGATTGAGAAAAGAATCGCAATATTTTTGTAGCTAGAAGCCAAATGACCGAGTTTTTGGTTTATTATTAAATTTGACTGCAGTGTACTTGCCTTCAATTTCAATTATTTCTATCACATTTGTTGGTGCTGGCGGCTTTGGTTGCGGCACATTGACAACCGGCGCTGGAACTAAATAATAAAAAAAAATAATGCAGAAAACAATTATAAACTAATTCATTACTACTTTACCCACATTAATCAAACTGTTCGAAACTAATGGTGTTATTTAATGCTTTATTTTCATTCGATATGCAACTTCGACGTAACATTGTTTCATCGATGTTGCATATAAAGAGTTAAACTGTTACAATAATTAATAAATTTTACATAAGACGATCACCAGTTCGACATTCCAAAAGAAGATTGAGGTTGATTTTACTGCAAAATGAGGTTAGTTACTTAAGTTAAGGTTTTGTTATTTTTGACGAATACTGTTCATAATGTTCATATTAAGTATCTATTCGTTGCGAAAATGGTATTGTTTAATAAATGTCGTATATAAAAAGGCAGTCCAAAGTTAAATTGTTTACGAAAACAAGTTTAACGTATTTGTTACGTTTGCAGCATGTATTAATAAAGTAATATTAATATATTAATATTAGTGACGTAACATAAATGTATTATTGTTTAATTAATGTCGCATACAAAATGACGATCACAGTTTTAAAAGTGAATTCCAAATGTAAAGTGCAGTACAAGTATGTTGCGAAACTTAGTTGCACGTTTACTTTACGTTATTATTACGTTCAACAGTAATCCGCCTTCATCGTAAAATTCGCAAAAAACTGTAAACATAGGCAATACCCGTATTACTATTAGGTAATAATTTAATTAAAATTATTGTGTTAGGATTAATAATGTATATTTTGATCTTATTAACAATTCAAACACAAACTTTAATATATATCTTACCTGAATTTTTATTATGTTTTTGTTAACAATTGCGTGTTTTTTTTAATGAATTCGAATCTTCTAGACACATTCAGGTTCACGTGAAGTTAGCAAAAGATAAACGATAAACGCGTTACGTTTCTGTTACTCAAGGTTACGTAGCCGCCACGTAGAATGTTATGAATGCTACGTATCACGCATGCCTAACACCCGCACACAAACATCGAAGTGAAAGTGAAGTGACGCTGTGCAGTACCAGTTTGTTACGAAACTTAGTTGCACGTTTACTTTACGTTGTTATTACGTGCAATAGCACAAGTAATTCGTCTTCACCATAAATACGACAAAAAAGTCAATAGGTGTAAATCTAGCCAATAGCATGATTGTAACAATTTAATTAATACTATTGTATTAGGATTAATGTAGCAAAACAAAACCGACCTTTTCCCAACAAAATAACGCGTTACTTTACTATGTTTCTCCAAGGTTACGTAGCCGCCACGTACAATGTTATAAATGCCACATGTCACAGAGATCTAACAACGGCGCACAAACTCACAGTTAGGAAAATGAACTTAGAATTTTAGCAAATAGAAAATATCTCTAGCTCCAAGTATTTTTGATTATAATTTGAAACTTTTGTTTTAGTGAGCGTTTAATTAAGAAAAATTAATTTCAAATAAAAAAGAGCCATTAAAAAAATTGAAAGAAATTTGCTCTTTTTGTTATTTTGAGTTTGTATCTTGTTATATAAAAGCAGCTATCGCGTTATATGAAAAACGCGACATTTTCAATAAATACAAAAGGGATCGTTCAAGTATTACGTAAGCAGATTTAGTACAATTATTTACACCGCCCCAACCCCCTTTGTGAGCAAAAGTAAGCAAAGCTGTCACCAAAATGTCACCCAAAATAAGAAATCAATAACCCCCCGCCTCCCTACAGTGCTTACGTAATACTTGAACGGCCCCAAACACGGAAAAATATATATTATTTTTATTGAATTTATGATTTTAGCAAATATCAATTATCTCTAGCTCCAAGTATTTTTGATTATAATTTGAAACTTTTGATTTGGTGAGCGTTTAATTAAGAAAAATTTCAAAGAAAAAAGAGCAATTAAAAAAATTGAGAGGAATTTGCTTTTTGAGTATTTTTTGAGTTTGTATCCTGTTATACAAAAGCGGCTATCGCGTTATATGAAAAACGCGACATTTTCAATAAATACAAAAGACGGAAAAATATATATTGTTTTTATTGAATTTATGAGTAAAACTGAAAAACCGCGGAAATAACTAATGGACTGTTAAACCGCGGAAAAAACAGGGGACCTCGTTATAGGTACTGAATATCCGTACTCTACAGCACATTTTATTATATCATAATATCCTACCTTTAACTGGTTCCACCTTCTTCGCCACTTCCTTTTTCTGTGCCACCTTCTGGGGATCCTTAAAACTTGCTTCCTTTGCCACCTCTTTCTGCTCTTTCACACTCAAATCCTTCCCAGGTTTAATGGATGTCTTTGGAGCAACATCAACCTTTTTTGGGGCCGGCAAACTCCCTTTACTTACTAAATCTGTTTTATCATTTTTCGCAGGTGGTTTGAATATCAATTCTTTTAAGGACTTCTCTTTGTTTTCCGAAGACGAACTCCTCGCGGGCGCTTTTTTAGGTGACACTGCTCTAATAGGGGCTTTTGTTAACGGGGGTTGTTCTTTATCTAGGTTTGATTCTTTTTGGACTGTTTTAGATGGCCTATCTTTAACAAATACCTCTTTTAGAGGTTCACTCGCAGGTTCTGAATCGAGAGAGGGGTAGAAATAATTAATATCAAGGATAGAATATCATACAACACTTATCAATTTATAAAATACAACTCAAACGTACTTTTTGGATTAGAAGATTTAACAAGGAATTCGATTACATTTATACAATTTTTTTAGGGTTTTTCAGACATATCGATTTATAATTGACATGTTATTCCATAACAAATATTATAAAGCTCAGAACAATACTCGATCAACTGTTACTATGAACTAGATTATGTTTCTTTATTGAAGTAAAACTTATTTAAGCGCGACTAGGGTGTAACACTGTGAGAATGCAACAGAAATTGCGTTACGTCTGAACTGTACGTCATTCGCTCTCGATGAAATAGCATAGTTGTGTGAATAGAGATCTGTCGTTGTACGCAGGGCCGGTCCTGGGGTCCTTAGCGCCCGCATGCAACTTTTATTCTAGCGCCCCCCCCCCTCCTATTAATTTTCACCATTTTAACAGTTTATCATTAAAATTATATAAATATTTACATATTTTTTAAAAATTAATTTCTAATTATTCTGGATTTAGTACACATAAAATTAGATATAATCTAGAAGGGTATAAAATATATTGATTTTAAATTTATTTATTATTATCGATCAATAATAATAATTAATAAATAAAACAATCCCTGTCGTAATTTCACATTTTAGTAATATTCAATATGTAGTAAATTGGGTAGTAAGGATGTAAGTTCGACTACCATAGCAAAAGAATTAATATTTTTGTTAGATTAAAGTTATAGAATTTAAGAAATGCATTTTTGAAATAGTATTTATTATTTTGATATAAAGATCTTGATATCAAAATAATAAATACTATTTCTGAAATGCATTTCTTAAATTATATAACTTTAATTTAACAAAAATATTAAGTGAAATAAATAAATTAATTTTTAATTATTCTGGATTTAGTGCACAAAAAATTAGATATAATCTAAAAGCGTATAAAATATATTGATTTTAAATTTATTTAGAAAATCGAGGCGATTTGGAGGTTGACTATAATCAAGTATTTTGGAATTTTCATTTATTTTTAACGTATGTGCAATATTAATATTTAAAAAAACTAGCATTTAATTTTCAAACATAACACTCGTATTTCATGTTGGATTTTTTAAATTTTAATTTAATTTAATTTTTCATCATTTACAATATCCAAAATTGCGTCGTAAACTTCTCCTTATTGATATCGTAAGAGCCGTCATATACAGAGTATCAGCTTGTTGTTTTAAAGTTAAATTTTTAACGTATTTTAGAAGTATTGTTAAAAAATCAGTAAAAAATGCAAAAAAAATTACAATATCAACAATATTGAAAAAAAAAAACTTATTAGATTTGATATGTATTATTTCTGTATCGTTAATAATTATTAAATTTAGAGTATGGACACCACTAGGTATGAAACAAGCCTCAAGATTTGCGTTCCAAAGTAAATTTTGCTTCCATTTTTCATATTTGTTCCACGCATGTCTTCAACATTCAAAGTTCAACAGATGCGAAACATTTGCAACAAAAGCAAAAGTTACAATTCAATTTCTCGGAATAAACATTTTCTAAGCACTGGCCCCCCATTTTTTATAATTTGTTTATATTTTTTATCAAGTTCCGATTCAACTATGCTTATGGGATTGAACACTAGATAATTTCTTTTTCGATTCCACGGTAACTTCGAACAAAGAAAAAATTGAATAAGTTGAATAAGCAATAAACAGAGCTGTTATTTACTAATTGGAGAATTATTAATTGGTTAATTATTTCTACTGATATCACATTGCAAAATAAATATGCGTTTTGTGTCTCCGTGTCCCCGGTTAAGTTAGATTATTTATTATAATTTATTAAGTATTCTAGATTTTATATAAATAATTCTAGATTTTATATAGAAAAATATAAATATTATATTATAAATTTAATTTCCGAAACTCGTTTTGGCGCCCCCTAAGGCGTGCGCCCGCATTTTTTGCATGCATCGCATGCAAGGCAGGACCGGCCCTGGTTGTACGCGTACCGGCACCAACGTTGTTTACGTCATTCATTTTATGCTTATTTATCTATGGTATGCGTACCGATATCAACAAGAAAATTGGCATAGATAAATAAACATTTTAAGGTTACATCGTAGTACAAATCTTGATTTAATAAAAAAAAATCCTGAATCAGAAGAATATTTTACTCTGTTTCCCATAAATAACTATAATAAAAATAATAAATTAAATAAAACATTTGTGCCGTGTCCTAAGCGTAAGTTTATTTAAATAATTTCTTCATTATTTAAAGCTTTTATTATATTATTCAAAGTTTTACTTCAATCGCGTGTGAACCTTACGCGCACTCTATTTTTTTTTAATTTATGCCATAAGAATTTTTATGAATCCTATGTATTCTTAAATTTATTGTTTGTGGAATCATCAAATACAAATAATTAAATAAATAAAATGATAAAAATAAATAAATTAATTATTAAAAACCATATACAAATTCATATTGCTTATTGAACAAGATTAAATATAAAACAATAATATTAATATCTCTACTTACCAGCTGGAAGAATTGCAGGTGGAACTGTGCTGTCTTTAGGAGGTTCTGTGGTGGTACTGAAAAATGTAAACAAATAAATAATTTAATAAATCCACTTATTATTATCATTTGATTTGATTGTATATTTTATCTAAAACAAATTTTAAAGCGTACCTTTCATTTTTCTTTGCATGTATTAGATAATGAACTCTGTAAGCCCTTAAATTTTTAAAAGACCTCGAACACTCTGCACACCTGAAAAATTGAGATAAATTTTGGTTTATTAATTGAATTCATTAATAAATAATCATTTATGTCTAAATATTTACGCATAGCCCTTGGACAATTTCCGTGGTTCTGGTGTTGCAGTTGTACTTTCTTCTAGAGGTGGATTTGTGTTTGTTTCTTTTAATGCACTTTTATTTTCTTTTACTGGTATCACAGACTCCTGATTATTCTTTACCAACTGGAATGATATAAAATACAGTTAGCCATGAAGTTGATAAATATATGATCGTTGTGTAATAAAATAACATTTGATAGACACTGAAACATATACAAATGCTTAAAATATACATATATAAATTTTCGTGTCATTAGTCCTCCGAAACGGTTTGAGCAATTTTCATAAAATCATCTAATCACGTTTAGTATGACAGAAAATCAGAAAAACATATATAGATATTTCATACTCCTAAGTGGCCTAAGTGGCAAGGGTTGGCCACCTTTTGTATTTAAAAACACACACAGCAGTAAATTTTCTACCTTCCTACCACAAGCCCTAAATTTAAATTCAAAAGCAAAATTTTACTTAAAAAAACAATGAATTTTCATCAAGATTTGTCTACCCCTTACACTATCGGAACCAATTTTCTTTTGGCTGCAGAAAGAGCAAAAATATTAAAATCTGAAGAAACTGCAGTTTGGGACAAGGAACTATTTGCCGTACAAATCTATGGCAAAGCTGTAAAGAAGATTTCAAAAGCCATAGAGCTTTTGAAATCTCACTCAATTCGCTAGACATGCTACAGCATAATTAAAAATTATTGTTCAGATTAAAAAATTGATGAATCAATAAAAAGAGCGGTAGTGAAATATGAAGACCTTGAATCTCCAAATGTGCAACTTCAGTTTGATTAAAATCATTCTCAGCTTAGGCTGCACTTGCAATGACTACCAATATGTCACATTATATGTATCAGTATGAGTTAATTCAGTGTTAGTAGTGTGTTCGTAATCCAACCACGCCAATCGTTACAATTTTCAAGTAGCTTTCGACTAAGCCGCCTTACCAAACTGCTACGATTCAAATACTTCATTAACCGTAATTAATTATTCTTTTGGGTGGACTTCTATTCTATTTTGTATTTCGTAGCAACCACTGCGATTTGTTGTGAGCGTGCATGAGCTTTAGTGTATATTCCACATTGGTGCAACAAGAAGCGTTTTAGGTTTGCCTCGCGATTTTATTTTGAGCGCGCTGCATAATGTTTAAGTTACTCTTTTTCGCAGAACCGCACAGTTGAAGACCGTAGGTCCACACGGGTTGGAAGTGTGGACCTATATATTAGTATTTTATAGTAAACTGTTGATTCTAAATTTCTATTATGAAGCCAGTGGTAATTTTTGATGAGCTAATCAATTTGCTATGTATATTTTCCAATTTAATTTTCTATCCAAGTAGATGCCAAAATATATTACCAACTTCTTGAGCGGAATAACTATCATTAAGTACTGCGGGGCAAGTTTGATTGCAAAGGGAATGTCACATGAACCGATTTTGTGCTATTAACTCGTGCAGTGTTGACGACAAACCTATTCCAAGGTGATTGGAAACATGTTATATTGTGTCAACACCGGTCTTGTAGAGAGTAGGAGAGTTGTAGAATTTGCGCCAGTGCATTTACAGGCGCTACCCTCTTTACTTCATGCGAATGGTACTACTAATCTAGCCGAGGATAAACCGAGATTTGGGTGTACTGGATATGAGCTATGACGCTATGGATGTGAAATTTTGAGTTAGAAGCATGGACGCGATTTTTGAGAAGTATAAATCGTGAAAGAGAAGGTTGGCTTTATTACTGGTGTAGCGGTTAAGTGAACAAACAAGAGCCTGCTTTAACGCTGCACATGATAATGTGAGATTGCCCTACGATGACCTGAGGAGCATCAAATGCAAACTTTTCCAATATAAAATATACACCAAAGTTAGTATTTGCAGGTCTGACGGTATAGCGAATATATTAGATAGTGTGAGAAGGTTGAAGAGAAGGTTGGCTTTATTACTGGTGTAGCGGTTAAGTGAACAAACAAGAGCCTGCTTTAACGCTGCACATGATAATGTGAGATTGCCCTACGATGACCTGAGGAGCATCATATGCAAACTTTTCCAATATAAAATATACACCAAAGTTAGTATTTGCAGGTCTGACGGTATAGCGAATATATTAGATAGTGTGCGAGTGCAAAATCAGAAGTGTAAAAGAGTTAAGGCAGAATAGCAGATGTAACAAAAAGGAATTAGTCCAGTAAATATTGATCCAGTAAATATTGATTTATATAATCTATTGAAGATAGTTATAGCCAGCAAATTGATTTAGTATCAGATGATGATGATATGAAACGAAATGATGATGAAAAGGAGAAAAATGATGTGAAAGTAGTAAAGAATGCAAGGGCTAGCAAAGAGTAAGAATATAAATTACAGAGAAAATTGGAAGAAAAATTCCGTACAGAAAGAAATTGTAGTTGAATTGGAGTATGCATAGAAAATCGGACGAGGGTCCATCAAAAGAGTGTGTACTGCGGAAAGGCGTATTGGAGCAAGTATGTGCGGAAGAATGCTGAATATAAAACGGAGTCGAGTCATGTTAGAGGCATTGTTGCTTCAATAAGGAGTTGCACCAAAACAGCGAACGGACAGCGAAAAAAAGTGTAAATTATTAAGAAGGTTATTCAGATGATAAAAAAGAGAATACCATGCAGGACGAGGTAAGCTATGAACAATACCATGCAAAACGAGGTAGCAAGGATGCACATAATGCCCCAATAATGTGTTATTCGCTCGGAGTGCATTGAAACCAAACCAGTCAAGGCTACGCGGCACGTGCGGTACAGTGAGTGAATGCGGGGTGTGAGAAACAAGAAGAGGAATGAGAAACAGAGAAAGAGATATAACGAACGAACGAACAAAGATTACGAACACTGTAAAGAATTACTTTTCATGAAATTTATAATGACTTTGTAACTGTCATGTAAAAGATGAGAGGAATTCCGTTTGTTGACACAAGAGTAATAAGTAGTAAGGGATATAAGTAGCAACTCAACTATCTTTCTAAGGTCATAACTCTTTTCATTATAAAAGATGGTAGAATTGGGCATGTTGAAAGTATGGTTCAAGTGTCGAAACGTTTTATAGAATAAATAACTTTTCTATTTTAACCTTATTGTAATTCGACGATTGACAAGCAAAATACTTCAAATATATATATTGTAGTGGTATCCACCCATTGGTAATAATTATAAATAATATTATAAATTACTATATAACGGTCAGAATATGAATGACGCAGTATGCTTGTTTAGTCATAGCTCTTACATTGTATGTTAGAGATAAGAACATCACGTGTTCATAATAACGGTCTTTTGCAAGGCTTTCTAACTGCAAAACCACAAACTGCGCCTTGAATAAATAAGAAGTGCGTAGTTTCTGATTCACATATAACGAATCTGAACAAGTTCGAACGAACATTCTAGAAAAGGATTGTGCCATCTTGATAAGGAATATGAAAGCTGCAAGATGATAAAATCGTTGTTCATTCTTAGTCAGTAGTTCATTCTTAGTTCATTTCTCAGTCAGTATAGTTCAGTCGTAATCAAGTTATAATAATGTTCAGATCATTATGAGTAGTATTAAGTCATCAATGGAGTTATATTTAAGTTCAGTTGTTCAAGTTATATGAAAAGTGTATAAGAATCATGAAATAAACATAAACATCAAAAGTCTTCATCTGTTTTACTGATTCGCCTTCACTGTCTGGTACCGGCTTGAAACTTAGCAGCAGGAAGAACCTACATTTTGTAGGATAATGATTATGTATCCCACACTTTAAATTCTTTTAATTCTTTTAATAAGAATTTGCAGTTCACTTGTGAACTTGAAGCTAGTAATTCTATCAGTTTCTTAAACTTAAAACTTATAAGAAATAATAATGTCATCCTCACTGATTGGTTCCAAAACCCAACTTGGTCTGGTCAATATTTAAATTACTTTTCTTATCACTCTCGTTCTATAAAAATTTCAGTTGTCATTTCCTTAATAGATAGGGCCATTTTGTTAAGTGATAAGATTTTTTAGGAAAAAAACCTATCCTTAGTTCGTGCTGTTTTGAACAATAATTCTTATCCTTCATATTTAGTAAATAACGTCATTAAAAATAGATTAGAGTTTTTACAAAACAATTTAAACAGTTCTTCCTATTTTAACAATTCTTTTTCAAAATCTAATTCTTCTTCTTTAGATAAATATAAAGGTGTTATTTGTTTACCCTTTTTAAGCAGTTTTTCTTATTTTTTAAAAAAGTTATTTGCCGCTGAAGGTTTTCTTTTGGTTTTCAGTTTTGATAACACTTTCCGTTGCCTTTTTTTCCCTCTTAAATCAAAAACTCCCGCTGATGGGATTACTGATTCTGTTTACAGGTTGAACTGCAATGATTGCAATAGTTGTTACATTGGTGAAACATCCCAATATATATACAAGAGGGTTAATCAACATACTTATAATTCCAGAAACCCAAATCAATTCAAAACGATGCTTTCTGAACATATGATAAACCTGAACCACACTTTTAACATGTCAAATCCCTCAATCCTTTACATTGAAAAAAACAGTGACCTTAGAAAGATAGTTGAGTCTTTACTTATATCCCTTAATACGTCTTGTGTAAACAAACGTAATTCCTCTCATCTCTTACATGATAGTTACAAAGTAATTATTAATTGCATGAAAAGTAATTCAATACAGTTTTAGAATCTTTCATTCGTTATATTTCTTCTCTGTTTTTCTTTCCCCCTTCGTTCTTGCTACTCCTCCCACTCCCATACGCGCGCGTGGCCTACACTGCACTGCTTTGTACTTTTAACCTTGAATAGTACACACAACGCTATGCTACCATAACATTAAATATAGGAGGGCAGTATGTGCTCCTCCTATTTCTCGTTTGTTAATTGATAGTATTTTATTATTTTACACAAATTTAGTGTTAATATCAATTTTTACATCATAATTAATGTTTCCTGTTTTTTCCTGGTTTGGTATGTATAATTTCCTCCTTTTTATATTTATATTTTTCATCACTTGTGTATTTATGTTAAATGTTTTTTTAAATTACTGAATGATGACACACATCAAGCGTCGAAACGTATAATGGAATAAATAATTTTGTTATTTAATCTTTTTTTTTAATTCGACGGTTGGGCTGCAAAAAAGTTTACAAATATGTATCAACGTCGACAAAACTTTCATCATATATATATTTGAAATATTATATATGCAGCCCAATAGTCGAATTAAAAAGAAAAATAAATAGAATTTTTTTTATTCCATTAAACGTTTCGACACTTGATGTGTGTCATCATTTAGTAATCTAAAAAAACATATTACATAAATACAAAGTTTATAATAATTAAAAATATATAAAAAAGGAGAAAATTATATACATACTAAACCAGGAAAAAACAACAGAAGAAATTAATTGTGTAAAATTTATTGAACACCAAATTGTGTAAAAGAATAATATAATAAATTAATAAACGAGGAATTGAAGGAGCACATATTGCCCTACTATATTGTATGTATTCAATTGCAGAACATTACGAAAACTGATCAAGGTTACGCAGCACGTATGGTAGAGTGAGTGAATGCGGGTAGTAAGAAATAAAAGAAGAATGGAAAACAGAGAAAGGGTATAACAAACGAAAAATTCCAAAACAGTAAAGAATTACTTTTGATGAAATAAAGTCATATAGAAATATGTTAAGTAATGAAATGTAAATGTAAATGTAAAAGTAATGCTGAATAAAAGTACTACATTTCGCTATTGATAATAATTCTTACATCACTTCCCGAAACATTTGGTTTCTCGACTGGTTGCTGTTCATTTTTGGCAGGAACTGCAATTGCCGGTGTTGAGGCAGGTGGTTCTGTAAATAAGAAAATTATTGGAATAAAATATATGTATGTAAATTTGTTGGTTAATACAGCATCACTCAATAAGTCCGTAGGATGGCACCTAGATGCCATTGTTGTGTAATTATCCATATGATGTGTAGGAAGTACCAACTTTAAAAAGATATCCGTCAATATTTCATGACAATTTGACAATCAAGGTAAACCGTGAAGATATGGGGTTAAATATAAATATTAATCACTTTTTTATTTTCTCGACGTTGTAAGTTATTCTGAATCGTTTAAAGCCTAAATTGGAAAAAGTATGAGTGCATAAGAAAGAAGTAAGCCATTCATCAACGTTTTTCAAAAACGGCTGCATGAAAATTTAAAAGTTTTTTGATGAAAATAGATTCATACTATGATACGCGTGACGATCGGCCAAGCCTATTTTTAAAATTAGCAGATAAGTGACTAACTATTTGAAGTTACTTTTCTGATCGGTTGCATTTAACGGTTTGCAGTTGAATTTAACTATTTGAAGGTACTTTTCTGTCAACTATAATAAAATGAGCCAATCTATCTACGCGCAAGAGTAGTCGAAAAGAGTCCGTAATCAAAAAGCCCTACAATTTGTCAAATCAGTACAGCCGTTTTTAAGAAAACGTTGACGAAAAAGGTTTGACCCACTCACGCACGCACACACAGATACTTTTACCAATTCGGGCGCCAAGCAATCCATAATAACATGAAACTTCGAAAAAAGATAAAAGTAACAAATGAGTTAAAAAGCAACTAAACTAAGAAATTAATATTATTTACCTGCACTTGTAGTGACTTCCGGAATTTTTTCTTGACCATTCTGTTGAAATAAAAAAGGAATTTAATATCCAATGTAATAAAATATTATTTTTCTTTGCTTATATATTCTGCTTTGATGTCCATATTAAAGTAAATGAAATAATATGAAATACTTATTGATAAAAAATCTAATCCCGACGTTTTTATTTTTATACAAATAAATCTTTAAACAGAAAACAATCTCGTTTACAATTAGAAATTTCAAAATTGAATCCTTATTTGTTTATTTCATAAGACAATGCTTTGTGCTAAGTAATCGTTTATAAATCAACGGACTACGACAGAATACCAACAATGACATAGAAAATTATATTACAACTAGCAAACCGGGCGAGCTCCGTTTGCCAGATGGTTTCATTTTATGTAACATTTCGTTTGATGATTAAAAGATAAAGCACAATACACGTGATTGATTTGATAGTTTCCAATTGAAATGCTAGGAAACGATTAGCTTATTTTTTACTTTTTTGCACAATTTCACAGTGAACAGAATGCCGGTTTGTCACATGAAATTAACTGAGCAGAGAACAATGAGTAGCAGTCAAACCAATGAGTAGCAGTCGAACAAAAAATATTAGTTGTTAGTACATGCTAAGTATCAGAGATGACGCTGTATGTGAAAAAAGTGTTTTCCGCTTTTCTGTTGAAATCTTTCTTCAATTTTCTTTGCTATACCTCACGGAGTCCGAGACCTTTCCAACGAATGCAAAATCGCCGAAATCGGTTCGTGCGTTCTGGAGTTATATCGTCAGGAAGGAAAACCCAACTTATTTTTATATAATAGATAATATCTAGTACTATGTATTTGAGTGTCAATAATTCAGCCTATTCTTCCAAAGAGAGTATTCAAAATTTAAATAAACGAAAAAACGCAAGCCAAAATAAATGCACAAAAATTACCAAATCTTCAACATAAGCTTATTTCATACATGCATACACCAGGAGAGACCAGTAACATAGCATAACTATATTATCCTAAAATTTTCCAATATATTTACCCCTTCTTCCAATGTATTTTCTAATATAGCTGATTTCTGCAGCTCCTCCGAGTTTTTACACATTCGTTTGAATGTGTAAAAAGTATCCACATTACGGACGCAGTCCAAACAAATATGTTTTGATAAATGGTCATTTTGTGATATCTGAAAAATTAACAAAATATATATTACAAAATTATAACATAGTGAAATATAAATGCTTACCAAATAAAATATACTGTTATTAAAATTAATTTCAGGTCCAAAAGAAATTTCGGATACAACTTTTCAAACAAAAATTCCGAAAGATAAAGATAAGATTAAAAGATCCAAAACAAAATTTCGGAAACACGGATCAATTGGTTTGGATAATTCAAAACCCTCTTCCCCTAAATAATTATGGAAAATATTTTGTCGTCAAGACAGATATTACAGCTGCTCAAAGAATGAGATTATATCGCCAGCCAAAAAGTAAAAAAATATGCAAGTAGTCAATGAATGTATGTTAATTTTAATTACATGAAGTTTCTTGAGGCGATGTTTAACTTAATCCACTGTGTAAACGAATATTATAGAATTTATCAATCAGCAATTACTTCATTTCTCTAATGAAGGTTCATTTCTACTAAATGCTAATTACAATGACAAACCGATCATGTCATATTTGAAGTATGGCTTTAATTACATTATTGTTCTCAAATATTATAAATATTTTTAATGCTATTAAAAATATATAATTTACAACTCATTATTATATAAATGTGTATAATGTTCGACACTAATAAATGTGTGCATCACGAGTGTTACCATATTACTAATAAACAATATTCAAAATTGTTATATGATGTATTTATTTTTAACTTAAATGTCATATGTAGCTTTTGTTTTTACATAAGTTTGACATAACCAAGTTTTTTAATAAATTAAAAAATTACCATAAATTAAGTAATTATTGCTCTAAGATTAATTTACTGAAAGGTTGAACTAAAGTTTGTGTGCCCCATGATTGGGGGTACAGCAGCTTCTTCAGAGCCGAAACAGGAAACACACAATCAAACAGATACTGAAGATACCGAGGCAACGCCTATGCCGTCTGTCTCATGGCAAGTAGTAAATTCAAGTAAAACTTTTAAGCGTAGGCGCACATCATCAAACAATTCACTTGAAAATTCAATAAAAGTATCAAATAGATTTGACATATTAAATTTGACAACTGAAACATCAAATTCCAATACCGTTAATCAAACGGATAAAAACATCAGAACGTCTACCACTAACATACAAAGACCCCCACCAATATTTGTGTACGGCATTACAGACTTCCCGGATATGAAAAGTGATTTAAATAAAATCATGGATGAAAATGATTATATACTTAAATCTATGCCGAATGATATAATTAGAATAAACACTAATTTACCAGACCAATACAGGGCAGTAATCAAGTTTTTTAACCAGGAACGGTCTTATAGAGCTGTGATAAAAAATATACACCATACATATGACACCAATGAAATAAGAAATGAATTAGAGAAACTTAATTTTAAAGTAAGGTGTATAATTAACGTAAAACAACACAAAACCAAATTGCCTTTAAACATGTTTTTTGTTGATTTAGAACCTGCAGAAAACAATGGCGAAATATATAAACTAAAAAAAATGCTTAATCATATGATTGTGGTAGAACCGCCACGTAAAAGCAAATGTGTTATTCAATGTACAAAATGTCAAATGTATGGACACTCTAAAAATTATTGCAACAGACCTTTTGCCTGCGTTAAATGCGGTGGACCTCATAATACTTCAGTATGTAAGAAAGAGAGATCTATTCCAGCAACATGTATTCTATGTGGTGGTGCTCACCCGGCAAACTACAAAGGTTGTCATTTCTACAAAGGTTATTACAAACAACATAATTACAACTTTCAAGAAGGAAGACGAACCACGGATAGAGTTAAAACATCAATTCCTACAGTGACCATAGAAGCTATTCAGAAGTATTAAAGTTACAACGAAATAACGAAAACGAACAGTCACAGGTAACCGTTGATCTTATCACATTAATTAATGATTTTAAAGACATGTTCAAACAGCTAATGGAACAAAACAGGTTAGTCATGAACATGTAATCCAAATTAGTTAAAAATTATTGGCCAAGTTTCTTCGGATTGCTCAATGGAATGCAAATAGTATTCTAAACCACAAAAATGAATTAATAATATTTTTACAACAACATATGATGTGATGCTAATCAGTGAAACGCATTTAACAAATAATGTACATTTCAAGATTCCTTTCTATTCTTTCTATAATACTAATCACCCAGACAATACTACACACGCTGGATCTGGAATATTGATTAAAAACAGTATTTCACACTACACACAAACAAATTTTCAAGAAAATTACTTACAAGCATCTACAATATGCATTAGTACATTTCCCTATGATATCATTCTCTCATCTGTATGGTGTCCTCCACGTCACAGGGTGAAAACAGATGATTATGAAAAATTCTTTGATACATTAGGACACAGATTTGTAGTGGATGGTGATTTGAACAGCAAAAATACATTATGGGGCTCTAGTTTTACCACTCCTAAAGGTAAGCAGTTGGCACAAATGCTGTTAAACAAAAATTATTCATTCTTACTGACTAGGAAACCTACTTATTGGCCTACGGATAGCAACAAACACCCTGACCTTCTAGATTTTTATATAACAAATGGCATTTCTGATTTATACACAAACATAGAAGATAATTCAGATTTATCATCAGATCATACACCTATTATAGCAACAATTAGCACCACAGTAATAAGAGTGAAAAAAATTAATTGTCTTTTTAATAGTAAAACAAACTGGAACTCTTTTAGACAAGAAATCAATTCTAAATTAGACCTTAAAGTCAGATTGAAATCTGAAGCAGATATAGAGAATAACTTAAATTTTTATATAAATACTCTGAAAAAATCTCTACAAAATGCTACTCCGCATATAACATATAGCAATTCGACGTCTAATATCACAATGGAAATTAAAATATTAATAAGGAAAAAAAGACGAGCAAGGAAAATTTGGCAAAGGTCACGTAATCCAAGGGATAAAACTGTATTCAACAATTTATCGAATGAATTAAAACAAAAGTTGAAAGTCATGCGGAACAACAGTGTAGCGGAATACATTACTCAGATCAGAGGTTACAATGATTTTAAAACCATAAAAACCAGCTTCAAATGTCACATCTTACAGACCAATCAGTTTACTGCTAATTCTATCAAAATTGTTGGAAAAACTATTATTAGTAAGAATAAAAGAGTATTTAGATATAATACCTGATCATCAATTCGGGTTTAGAACCCAGCACTCCACAATACAACAATGCCATAGGATAGTAAATAGCATCCAAAAGGCAATAGAAAGAAAGGAATATTGTTCAGCAATCTTTATCGATATCAAACAGGCATTTGATAAAATATGACACGAGGGCCTACTCATCAAAATAAAAAATTCTTTGCCGCACAAGATATTTTTACTATTGAAAAGTTACTTAACAAACAGATTATTCAGAACTAGAGTTGGAACAGAAACATCAGAATTATGTAACATCAAGTCGGGGGTTCCACAAGGGAGTGTTTTAGGGCCATTATTATATCTCATATATGCGCACGACATTCCAACTGATAGCAATGTCATAATTGGAACTTTTGCCGATGATACAGTTGTCATGGGAACTCAAACAAATGCAACAATATGTCTCCGAATTTTAAAAGTGGCTCAATAAGTGGAAGATTAAAATAAATGAAACAAAATCTAGCCATATAACCTTCACAACAAGAACCCTGGACTGCCCAAGCGTAAAAATAAACAACATAGAAATACCGAAATATGAGAGTGTAAAATACCTTGGGATTCATCTCGATAGAAAGTTAAACTGGTCAACGCACATCAAAATGAAAAGAAAACAGATGGAGAAGAAGTTCAAATAGTTGTATTGGCTAATTGGCAGGAGTTCAAATATGTGCTATGAAAACAAACTCCTTTTATATAAAACAATAATTATCCCAATCTGGACATACGGCATTGAGCTATGGGCGTGCGCAAGCAATTCAAATATAAAAAAAATTCAAGTAGCGCAATCGAAAATTTTAAGATGCATTGTGAACGCACCCTGGTATGTTACAAATGACACCCTACATAAAGACCTAAAAATAAAAACTATTAATGAGATGATAAAAGAAAGGAGCAAAAAATATCACGAAAAACTACCAGGTCACCCTAACAAATATTTAAAAGAATTGAGCGAGGAATATCCCACACAAAGATTGAAAAAAAATGGCCATACGATCTTAAATAAAATATCAAAAATAAAAAAGAGAGATATCTCATAGGAGATAATCTTTTAAATGCATTAACACCAACATCATATTGTCTTAAAAAATGTATAATATTTTGATTGACAATAAAACTATGCAAAAAAATGTCATATCGTACAATAGCAAAAAAGTTTTACTTTAATCGCGTGTGAACCTCACGCGCACTCTTTTTTCCATTTCTTACCAATTCTATTGATCGAGTAAAAAATTGATAAATATGTCATTATTGTATCGTGTGGTGAAATACTAGCCTTTCATAAAACATTTAACATAACTTAACCTCATTTATATACCAAGGATGGAATATATCTTACATATAAAATTCTTCTGCACGGGTGTATGATTTGAAACTTCTCCTAAACGGTTATTTAGATTTTGATAATTCTTTTTAGAATTTGTCAAAGAAAATTTTTAAGATTTAATTTACTATAAAACTATAGTAATATTGTAGCAATAAATGGCAAAAATTACAAAGAACCACTTATCATTGTTTGACAATGAAAACATTTGAACTGGCACCTACTAGAAATGTGAATTCTCTTGAAATTTAAATTTAAGTGACATTATGAGCCTAGATAATATTAGAATGTAATATACAAGAAAATTGTAATGTCTACATTATTACTGCTGAAAAGCAGCTGAGATGTGCCAGAAATTATAATAATATAAGATACAGTCAACAGTATATGTTGGCGGATGAAATTATATAATTCAGCTTAATAAATAACGCAATAAGTCCAAAATTGCATATACATTATTTTTCAAACTTATGCATGTTGCATTTTGGTTTACTTTACAAAATTATTTAAAAATACAAAACCAAATTTTTACTTAATAAAAAAATGATTTAGAATTTTGTTTCATATGTCAAAAATTCATTTGTTTGGCATTGAATATGGAATATTTAGCAAATTGATCTTATACTGAATAGTGCACATATGAACTAGACTTTACAAATTAATTCACCTAAGATTTGAACATAAATAATAATAATAATAACAATAATTTAATAACAATAATGTTTATTAAATTATTTGTAAGAAAAATGTACTTCAGAAATTATAATTGCAAAAACCAACTATATCGTACGAGATTTGATATTTAAAATATCAAACAAAACTAGATACTTACAGGAAAGTATAAATTGAAAGTATCGAAAAACTAGTTAGCTTTATTGCTATATTCACAATGGCTAGTAGTTGTCAAGAAAATATATAATTATATAATAATTACATAATTACTAATTGTTTGCATAATTATTATTTTTGTGTCGAAGACTTGTTGGGAGTATCGGAGTGATGCCCATAGGGTCTCTATTAAGCTGTTAAAAATATGATATTTTTAACAGTTTAATAGAAACCCTATGAGTATCACAAAAATATGATATTTTTAACAGTTTAATAGAAACGATATTCCCAACAAGTCTTCGACACAAAAATAATAATTATGCAAACAATTAGTAATTATGTCATTGTTATATAATTGTATATTTTCCTGGACAAATACTAGGCATTGTCAATACAGCTTCAATCAAGCTAACTAGTTTCTTTAAATAATTTTAGCAGTATAGTAAAAAGTCTACGATCATTCTTTCGATACTTTCAATTAATAATAATTATGCTATATATACATACCAGTGTTTTATGTAAAACACAAAAATATTACTTTACTAATAACCATCTTATTTTCAATATTTTTATAATTATGCCTTTCATTTTCTTATGTATATATTCCAAGCTTGACACAAAATTGAGGTTATGTCAAATGTCATATGAAGTCATTTTGCCTCCAAAAGTAAAGACCTCAAAAACTACATAAAACTAATTATTATCAACAAAACTACTAATATCTTTTACCTGTACATCCACACAATATTTTAATTTCAAAAATATGGTTTTCAATTCCAATAAAGAAGTCTTTTGTGTATCATTCAAATCTGGTGCACCCAAATACATATAACCACTGCCATGATTTAAACACAATCTACACAAGTCTCTAGACATCTTAAAACAAAACTTAAAATTAAATTATTAAAAAATCACATTAAAAAATAAATAAATGACATTTCTGCTAACGAAGCGAAGCGTTCTTTGCTCTCACAAACTCAGTGTTGCCAATAGACGGGAGACGTATATAACCTAGAAATATTTTAATAGTGTTGCCATGATGACGAAGCAGGTTTACAACGTTATAAAAAGTGGAGGGATTTATTCAGATAAGGAAATTTATTGGTCTCAGCAATGGCGGCGCTAGACAATGCATGGGCGTGTGCAAAATTCGTTGGCGAGACCCCTAGTTTTTCTCAGTCAAAAAAAGGTTAAAACTAGGCTTTGCGCTCTTAGACAAATTGCAGGAACTTCCCGTACCGTAATTTAAAATTTCTACATTTTTTAAAAAAATTTGATAGAACTAGAACTTTTTGAGAACTTTGAAATTTTTTATTAAAAATGAACTTTTTTGAATTTTCTGTTAGCGATTTTGAATATTCGCGCCAGATTATTATTAATAATAATAACTGGAGTCTGGTCCATGGTGTAAGAGCCACCGCAATACGTAATTCCCTTGCCATTTGTCGTCTATCATTCCCATTACCACTACCCCCCCCCCTCATTTTTTTTTCAAGTGTTTTCTTTTCCGAACTTCTGCTTCAATGCTTCATGATCCTGTGCTTTGGCTTTTACTTTCCTGTATCTCTTTGCCCACACTTCTCAGGACTTTTTCTTTTGTTATCTTGTCTTTCCACTTTATCTTTTCCATTCGGAGGTGAAGAGAATATGCAGCATCCTTACCGCACTCCTCTACCTATTTCAACACTATTCGTATCCCCCTGGTTCACACAAACCTTGTGTCCCATATACAGATTCTGGATCAGGCTGCGATCTATCCAAACGACGTTAATAGATTTTAAAATTTCTATAAGCTTACTCCCGTTGACTCTGTCAAAAACTTTCTGCAAATCTATAAAGCAAAAGCATATGTTCTCTTTAACGTCGAGACATCTATCCGACATTATCCTCAATATTCCAATTGCGTCCATAGTGCCTCTTTTTTCTAAAACCAAACTGGTCTTAGCTCATGTGCAGCTCGATCTTATTTTCTAGTCGCCTCGTAAGCACTTTGGCAAGAAACTTTCCTGTGTGCAAAGTCAAACCGATCATCCTATGGTCGCTGCACTTATTTGCTTTGGGCTTTTTCCAAAGAACTATCATCGTGACATCCAGAAAGTCCTTTGGCCATTCGCCCGTTTCGTATATATGGTTCAACAATTTGGTCAGTTTCCTTGATCCCTTTTTGCCCACCTCTTTCAGCAAGTCCGCCGGTATGTTTTTCTACATATTTTACAGAAGAGAAAGTCATCATTGGAACCATTTTCTTGTAGAATGGTGTTACACCTACTCTGGGAAGAATGTAACGTGGTAGTATTCCCCTTTTCCTTTCCACATCGTAGCGCCCGAAGTAAAACGAATGACGGGTCGCGCCCCGGATGCCAAAAAATTGCTTCAAAAACGCTAAAATATCTTCCATCCAAATGTTTGTTATTCTTCATGACGCTAAGCAATTCAACTTCAAATACTTTAATATAATTACTAGTCATCAGTATGGAAAAACGTTAAAATCTCCATGATTCCAAAAAATTATGGAAAGACTTATTTTACAAAGACTTCTAGAACATCATCATTCAAAAAAAACCTAAATACCTAAACACCAATTTGGTTTTAGAAAACATTATTCAACTATTCAATAATGCAGCAGGATAACCGATACTCTCATTGCCCTCAACAAATAAAATTTAGTATAGTAGTTTTTTGACATCATCCAGGCCTATGATGAGGATTGGCACATAAGTTTACTGCTCAATGAAGTTCTTTTTCGAAGAAAGTCTCTCCGAACTACTTTACAATTCTGGCGTTCTTCGGGGCGGTATACAGAGTCCCAAATTATAAAAAAACGTCACTTAATTCGGATTTAACAATGAGCAGGTATGCTGATGACATTGCTATTTTTCAAGTAATAATGATAAACCAACAGATACTTCAAACCTATCTAATCAAAATAAAATCATACCTTAGAAAATGGAATATTGAATCTTATTATTTCATTAAGAAACCATTCATGTTTTGTGCCTGAATAATGCAGTTATATCAAATCATCAATCTGAGAAATAATTAGGTATGCATTTTGATAGTAAACTGAAGAGGAAAATGCACATGATCGTGGAGCGAAAACAGGCAGACCTAAAACTGAAAGAAATAAACTAGCTCATGAGAAGATCGTCCAATCGCCCACTCGAAAACAAGCTTCTATTATACAACACAAAGGGATGAAAATTCCAACATGGACAAATGGGATAGATCTATGGGGTTGTGCTATGGGGCCAAAACAAAATTCTTGTAATTCTAAGAGCTGAAAACAAGGTACTCATGATAATCAATAACACTCCATGGTTTATGACCAACCATATGTTCCATAAAATCCCTAAAAATTCTATTAGTTGCGAATTTTCGTCAAATCATTCATCGTTATTAATGGGCATTATTAATGGGACAAATGCATAGACCTTATACAATTGTATGAGGTCTATGGACAAATGGGATAGATCTTTGGGGTTTTGCTAGCCAAAACAACATTCTTGTAATTCAGAGAGCTGAAAACAAGATACTCATAATAATCAGCTACACTCCATGGTTTATGACCAACCATACGTTCCATAAAATCCCTAAAAATTCTATCAGTTGCGCAGGTCATAAAAAGAAGTAGTTTAAGGTTTCAAGATAAATCGGATCCACATCTAAATCCTTCTTTTATGTCATTTTTCTTGTTTTTATTTTCTACACCTCTCTTTCAAAATCTGGATTATAACGTTGTAATCTGATTGTCGAAACTAAAAAAAAACCGGAGCCGTCCATTACTAAACTCCACCTCCCCCACATATACTTCATGAATTTTTGTCAAATCATTCATCGTTATTAATGGGCGCCCCTTTTCAATTTTTAGGTTATGTGTATACATGCATATTTAAATGTATGTTTGCATGTGCATATATAAATATATGTATGTATGAATGTATATTTAATAAAAGCTTACCTCTATGTCCAGACAAAATTTAATCTTTATCTGCAAAGTCCTGATTTCTAGTAGCAAATTCTGGTTCTTCATTCTTCTTGCAGTATATTCTGATAAGTCAACATATCCACAACCGTGTTTCAAACATAATCTACAGCATTCTATTGGCAGTTGTGTAGAATCTAAATCTTTAGACGACATTTTAGTTTTTATTTTATCTCAAGTACTCTGAATAATAAATGCTGCGACTCATAGATAAGTAAATATAACTTGCGACTTGTGTCAAGCACTCAAGCGTGACTAGCGCATAAGTGTTGCCACTGTAGAGAGCCAGAGATAACTAGATAGCTTGAGTCATAGATAAACAAGTATAAACAGATCGCTATGTTTGGCAATTTGACGTTTCATCGATTGAAATGCGCAGCTTTGATTATAGATGGCAGCACATGTACATTTTGTAATTTAAACCTTGGTATTACTTCTACATTTGTACATATTAGCAGTGAAACTTCTTTGGAAAAAAAATTAAATAAAGCAGTGAAACTTCTTTGGAAAAAGAGTTAAATGCTGATATATGTTAAATTTTTAGTAGAGTAGAGAAAAACATAACACATCCATTTTGTCAGATGACAGTTATAGGAATTAAAAATTGCTTGAATTGGTGCTCAAGTGCTGGAATCATAGACATTACACTACATTGACTGCTAGTCCTCATATGCTTTCCATTGTATATAGTGCGGACATGACCGACGCCAATTGCAAACTCTCCCGATTGGTCATCACAAGCACAATAACTAGATCTGACCATCGGTCGTTCACTGCCCTACCTAACCAGTGCGCCCAGACCTCGGGTCGCAGCGAGCTGGGAGGCAGTAATACCATTCGCACTAAGATGTCAAATGCAGAGACGTCAACTTTACGACTCTTCTGCATTCGGTCTTCACACAATTAAATACAGCGTGTTTCCGATCACCCTCGAACAAGTTTCACATCAATACGGTTTTGAGACAACTTTTAGGGTGTTAATATACAGTATTTACAGACTTACAACTGGGTATCTCGAATTCCGAGGTAAACTTACAAAAAAAGAATTAGAACAGTGTGTCATGTCAAATTGCTATAATGAATATAATTCAATTATGATAAATAAATATTCATATCATGACATTTTGCATAGTTTTGATAATGATATATTTTAATACATTTTTATAAAACATAGAAATAAATTTTTATTAATTAATATATTTCTATACTGGTGACCTATGACATCTAAAATGAATATAGCAATTGAACATGGATCAAGAATTAAAAGAAATATATAGACTTTGATGCAAAGCCCTAATCACTGGTCTTTTGTTGGCTATTTAAAAGGTACGTACAGTCCTCGGGCCATCTCGGATTAACGCATTTACTCTAGCCATGACACCGGACTTCCGTTGGCATACTCATTCTGCATGTCCAGACTTCGGGTTATCGCTGACATCAAAAATTTTACTGGAATCGCAAATCAACCTATCCTTGTCCTTTAACCCACCAAATCGTCTTTTGATGCTTTAGACTTTGGAACTGGATCTTGATTGTATGTTGTTTTTAGAACTGGATTTAAATACTTCATTCAAGTTGTCCTCATCGACTCCAGTCAATCAAACAGTAAGCTCTTATGAAGATTCAGGCAATTCAATCCTGCACTATTGAATCAACTGCCCTCATGGACCCAACTGTCCGAGATTCTCCATCGACAAGTTCGTATAATGTTTTACTAACTTCGATATTTATGCCAGATGACTCTTATCCGGTTGTGATGGACTACGAATTCTTTATACCTTCATGAATTTGAGAAAAAAATTTCATGTCCTGAAAGATGTTAAATTCAAATCTCTGCTACAATCTGCCTTCCTACCAAGTAAATATAACGTGTTGAACTGCTTATTTGAACTAGTGTGAGGCCAACACTGAGAAGGGAGTATATTGGTAATCAAGTAGGCAATTGTGAGAAACAAATATTCATGTCATGACATTTTTGTATATTGATGATAATGATATATTTTAATACATTTTTATAAAACATAGAAATATTAATCTATAAATTTATAAATAGTAGTCTGCCCGAAGATTGGTTTAAAGTATGAGAGAACCACAAAATCAATGATTTTCCTCCTCTCCCTTGTTTATTATTCCCATTACCATTTTATTACCATTAATCAATGACCATTAATCACTTTATATTCGTTTTTATGAATTTTCCTTTCCAAACTTCGGCTTCCATGCTTCCTGGTCATGTGCTTCGGCTTTCAGTTCCCTGTATATATATTGTTGGTGAGCTAAAATGTATATACACATTTTTTCGGTTTAAATTTTCTAATTGAAATATATTTAAAAAAATGTTGCCATTCAAAACATTTTTGAAAATCCGGGACAAAACACCTAAAACCTTGTTAGGACTTTGTTTAAATACAAAGTAAATAAAGCAATTCGGATTTAAAATGAAGGACATTGTCTAATATTTATAAGAATTATATAAATTGAATAGCAAAGTTAAAATTATTTATTTGAAGTTTATAAGTGAGCTTTAGAACTTTGCTTAAAATAAAATTATAAACCGAATTATTATCGATATTTAGAAGATTTTTTTTTGAAAATAATAAAAATAAAAATTTTAAATAAAAAAAAAACTTACCCCAAAAGCAATTGTTTCGTCAAACAAGCAGAAAATTTTCGGATGCAAAAAACGGGATTATTTGAACATTTAGCTGCGTATCTCCAAAACGGCTGAATCTGCCTTTGCCAAAACTAATCACCACTTCTCCCCATCATTACAAACTGAATGTTTTTTGCATCATACAAATCGGATGCTCCGTTCTCTCAAAAACGCGATTTTTATTTTCTGCACTCTTTGCTCCGTAATTCCGAAACGGCTGGACCTGCCTTTGACAAAAACTAATCAGTTTTTTGAACCGTTCAAATCAGTTGATTCATGAACCCGAAAACGTGGACCAAAAATTATAGACACATAAAACACACACACACACGTATACACGCATCCATTTTTCATAAGGTATGCCAGAACATTCAAAAACTTCTAAAACGTAAAGATACGCAAAGATATTCGTTTTGTCTTCTGGTCCATTACTATAACTTACCTTACAGGAAACAAACGTTTCGTCAACACAATCAATTAAATTATCCAAATCGGATGCTTGGTTCCATAGGTAAAAGAAAAGTATAGTGGAACTTTGTTCTCTCAAAAACGCGATTTCTATTTTGTGCACTCTTTATTCCATATCTCCGTAACGGCTGGACCTGCCTTTGCCAAAAACTAATCAGCGCGTCTCCCTATCAATAGAAATCGAATGTTTTTTTAACCTCCCGTAGGGTAGTTATAGTAATGGGCCGAAAATCGAAAATGAAAATTTTTAAATTTCTCGACGTTTTGAAGGTTTCTGAACATTTTGGCATACCTCAGAAAAAATGGATGTGTGTGTGTGTGTGTGTGCGCGTGTGTGTTTTGTATGTCCGCATTTTTTCGTCACGTTTTCGGATCAACCGATTTGAATGGTTTGAAAAACATTCGATTCCTATTAATAGGGAGATGTGCTGATTAGTTTTTGGCAAAGGTAGGTCCAGCCGTTACGGAGATATGGAGCAAAGAGTGCAGAAAATAGAATTAGAGTTTTTGAGAGAACGGATCATCCAATTTGAAGGATCCAAAAATCATTCAGTTCGTAATGACGGGGAAAAGTGGTTATTAGTTTTTGGCAAAGGTAGGTTGTAGAAGAGACAAAGCTAAATGTTAAAAAAATGGCAGTTTTTGAGAGAACTAAGCGTCCGATTTAAATGATTCAAAAATTTGTTTCTAATTTTTTTTTTCGAAAAATATTTTTTGTAATTTTGGATTGAAAATTCAAAAAATCACCCAGGCTAAGCACAGTCCAAGCGCCACTCTGGTAGAAATGTTTACCCAAGTGCGTTTAGTACTGTTTATGTACTGGAGCACTTTTCCAATTTTGTGAAAACTATTGAAAAATGTGAAAATGCCAGAACAGAATTATTTGCAAATGCGTTTAGATGGGAGCACTTTTTTAATTTTGTATAAATTAATTAGGCATCTTTTTTTTGAAATTGAATTCGAAATGAAATGTCGATTGTTAATGTTCCGGAGATAAATTGATTTATGATTTACATTTGATTTGCTCTGTATGTATGTATGGATACAATATTTCGGTCACGTTTTCGGGCGCACGGATCAACCAATTTAAATGGTTAAAAAACATTCGATTCCTATTGATAAGGAGATGTGCTGATTAATTTTTAGCAAAGGCAGGTCCAGCAGTTACTGAGATAAAGAGCAAAGAGTGCAGAAAATAGAAAAAAAGATTTTTTGAGAGAACGGAGCATCCGACTTGAATGATCTATAAACATTCAGTAAGTAATGATTGTGAGAAGTTGTTATTAGTTTTTGGCAAAGGCAGGGCCAGCCATTTCAAAGATACAAAGCTAAAAGTACAAAAAATGGCAGTTTTTGAGAGAACCAAGCGACCGATTTAATTGATTTAAAGAACTTTCTGCTTGTCTTAACAAAATATTAATTTTGAAAAAAAAAATTTGTTTCAACTTTTTTTAAATTTCTTTTTTAATTCTTTGTACATCGAAAATAATTCAGATTTTATTTTTAATTCTGACTATAGTTCTAATGTACTTTAAACAAATAATTTCTACTTTGCAATTCAGTTTATATAATTCTTATAAATATTAGACACTGTTACAATATTTATAATAATCTATTTGAAAACATTCAGTATTCCTCAAGCATTTCGGTACGGTACGGGAAGTTCCAGCAATTTTCCTTAAGGCACGATGCCACACACCCCACTAGTTAATAATTCACATCGATTGATCCGTGCGTCCAAAAACGTGAACAAAAAATTGTATCTATGCATACATACGTCATACATGCACTCACAGACATACACACACATTCATTTTTTCTGAAGTATGCCAAAACGTCTAGAAACCTTAAAAACGTTAAGATATGCAAAAAAATTAATTTTGATTTTTGGACTATCATTATAACTTACTATTACTATTATTATAACTCATCAATATTAGAACGATAATATATGTATTTTAAACAAGAAAGTTTAATATTTAGTAAAACATAAATGGCTACTTGTTATCTAGAGCTTACTATAGTAATCTATATGTAGTAAAACAATATACTATATAATATGATTAATATAATATTGGCCGGTAATCTCCGAACAAAAGTCTGTAGCTCGGTTTTAGTTAGAGCTGCTCTCCCTAGGAGCGCTCTTGCAGCGGTTTGGCACTCATCGGGTAAGAATTTCAATGCGGGCAATCAAACAATTTCAAGAACGTTCGTTCAGGGTTCGTTCCATTATCATGGGTGTTCGTTGTATTTAGTTGCGTTTACAAGTGATTAGGTGATTAGTTTGCAATAGAGGTGGGTCGTTGACGGTTTTGCCGTCAACGAAACGAAACGGTTATCGGGGTTTCGTCAACTAGTTAAATAACTAGTTATTTTTCAACTATAGTTATTTTTAACGATTCAACGCTGGCAACGTTAAGAAACTGATAGTTGAAATAACAGTTTCATTGAAAGTTGGTAATATATATGAAGTTTGTTCTTATAAAAGTCAGGTTGACGTTGGATTTGATGAATAAAAAGAAGTAAATGTGAATTGTCACATTTATTACACACACACACACACATATATATATATATATTTATATATATATATATATAAAATAAAGGTTTAATTTAAAAAACTTAAATATTTTCATTACAGCAAAGCCATATACTAAAACATCGAATTTACATTTTATATAAAATTAGCAATATAAAAATGTATAG